TCTTTTATTAATAATAACAATTACATAACTTATTGATAGTTATTTTGCAGGAGCTCCATAAATATTTATCGTGTGTAATTATTATATAAAGAACTTAAGGTAAGAGTGATAAGACATACTTTTTCCAAGGGTGAAATATATATATCAAGTAAATCCTTGGTATAGTTTCCAGGATAAATACTTCTAGAGATTAGGGAATTTCCAGTTGATAACAGCACAATCTGCAGAAACATATTCAGATGCTTTTCAGCGAAAACACTCCTGAATTATATAAAATTTTGGTTTTTCTTTATATTGCCCAGAAACCTTTTATTTAATCAAAGTTTGCCAAGAAAGGAAAGAAATGTCACACATTCTGAATGATTTAGAATTCGAAAACCTAGAATTGTCAATCGCGGATTCCATTTTGCCTAGCACAGTTCTTTCAATGGAACCTTGTTTGCACATTCTTGGTACTGTTTCTTGTGCGCTATTGTTTTTGCTGGCGCTCAGCTCTTACGCAAGAAAAACAGAAAGTGCAATTTAGAAATAAGAGACACAAAATTTTTTGATAAATTTTTTCTTGCTGCTAAACAAATTTAGCACCTTTATTTGAACCACTTTTAAAGTTGTTCATGAATTGTGATTCCTCTGATAAGTTTTCAGACAATGTGATACCTAAATATGATTTCTATAATTATAAAAGTTGTTGTATTTTAACATTTTTGACATAACCCTATAAGTAAATATCTTCGTTCCTGAGTTACGAAAAATGTGTGTTTGAATGAACCTTAGGTAACAATTTTGGTAAGTAGCAACTACCTTGAACAGCAGACAAGAGTATCTCAAATTGTCCATTACACCACCGAAATGTTCTCAGTACAAGTTCGTAAAGAAGGATGATTGCAATTATAGTTAGTGTAATGAAAATTTGTTTCTCCGCTGTTAAGTTCGGTACGATCATTTATTTTCCTGCAACAAATTATGTAGGTGCATCCGTCTCTTGATTCATCGTCTGGCGAATGAATCAGACTTCTAACACATTATAATAAGCATGAGGCCGTTCCTCTGAAGGCCACCCAGACGGAATCTCCTCTGATTTTTGTTCTTGTTCAAAATGGAGTAAGGACACACTCTGTCCAGTCTTCTGCACTTTCTTTGTCTTATAATTGTATATTTATGTTAATTAAGAACGCATTCTGCTAATGGTTTAGAAATTCTCTTACCATGCCTTTATCTTTGCTTTTATGTTTTTATTACTGGATTTATTGGGCAATGAATTTCAGTTGAAATTAAAATTCTAAGATAGTTACCATTCACAGGGTTTTGAAAGCAGTTATGTAAATAGTGTCCCTTTTTCTTATCTTAACTCTTTTTATTCCTCGCAAATTATGATGAGAAGCACGTAGCTTTAACAACTGTGTAAGTACGTGTGTATATTGTACTTGTGAATATAAAAAGTGTGAGCGCACCTATAAATGAACTTAATGCAAAATTGTTAAAAAGATGCCCTACTGGTTCTGACCTGACTTCGCTTCTTCTTTCAGTTGTCAGTAAAAATAGATAACTTATAAATATTTAAAAAATTACGTTTACGTTTTGAAGAGAAAAAAATTTTTTTCCTCTATCCTTACACAAAATGACAGTATGAATTTAAACTTAATTAAATATAAGTTTAAACTCAAATAAACGAGGACGATAAATTTCTTTAAAAGAATGTTTAAAAAATTTTTTTTAATTAATTGATAAAAAAATTTTTTTCCATCGATGTGTGAAAGAACGAATTCAGCTTTCTTAACATTTCGTCTGTGGCGTTTTCTCAAAACTGTGTTTTTCGTAATAGCAGTTACAATACTGGTGGCATTCAATTCATTTAAAGAAAATTAACAGCATGTATATATCTAATATAATTTTCGCAATTGGTATTGTCTCTGTAGTTCCTGATGAGCTAAGTGACCATAAATTTTGTATAGGTCTGAGTTTTTCCTAATTGATCAAAAACTGTAAAAATAATAAAAGTTATTTTCCTGCGAGTAATGGAAAGTAAAATGCTAAAAAAAAAAAAAAAAAANAAAAAAAAAAAAAAAAAAAAAAAAAAAAAAAAAAAAAAAAAAAAAAAAAAAAAAAAACGGACGACTTTGAATAGATAACTTTTGATGTAATTACTGAATCTTCACGTTCTAGGACTCCATCTTAATGGTTCGAAAGGGTGATCTCAAACATGCTGATTAATTTGTGCGAACGATATTTTAAGTTGTAAAATCAAACGCAAAAACATACTTTTTCTGAATGAACATATCTTTTTTCGACATATGCGGATTTTTGTCTCCAAAATATTGGAGGTAGCCGTATTGTGGAAATATTGTCTCTATAGTTTGGTCAGAAAAGCCGTTTTGGAGCTCTTAATGCTAATTTTACCTTTTACGAGAATCGCTATACCTCGCGAGTTTTTTAAACAAGTCGAAAAAAAAATTTTGCAGTGCGCAAAATAAAAAACGAACCACCCTCAATACTCTTTTGATCTATTGTGATCGGATCTTCACAATTTAGAACTCAATCTTAAAGACTCGAGGGAATGATTTCAAACAAGATAATTAATTAGTGCAGACGCTATTTTAATTTACGAAATCAGACTCAAGAATGTATTTTTTCCGAATAAACACTTTTTTTTCGACTGATTCGGATTTCTGACCCTCAAATGGGTAGGAGCATTCTGGGAAATATGATCCTCATACTTTGATCAGAAGAACTTTTCAAACTTTGGACCCCTTAATTTTAGTCTTACTTTTTGCGTATTTCGTCATATCTCGAGAACTTTTTAAGCAAAATGAAAAATTTTAACAATCAATAATAAAATTTATCTATCCAAAGATAATTACATGCTGAAACTAAATTTTAGTAAGTATTTATTTTTTTATTATTTTATTTAATAATAGTTGAAAAAAATTTGAATTTTAAGGTATACAATTTTTTACACCGTTTTAAAGTTTTTTTTGGGGGGGGGGGTTGTACTTTTAGCTATTAAGATGTCATGAAACTTTCAAGCAAATCGTATATCTAAAAGTGAGGTAAGCGCTGACATGTAAAAACAACTTTTAAAGGTAGCGCAAGCATCATATATTTCTCATATATATGAGTTTCAAGTTTCACCTATAATTTTAAGACAATGTTTCTCATCTCTGCACAGTGTCAAATTAAGTCTGGAAGAAAAATATTTTTTTAATATCAGAATGATGTCCTCTTTTTCAAGAAAAGAAATAATCAAGTATTTAACATTTAAATAAAATAATAATGCGCAAGAATCAGTTTTTGAAACAAATAATCGTATAAAATGAGTGCAAATCTAATTTTAAGTCAAACATTATGCAATCAAAACAGCTTTTTTTTTAATGTATAGCCTTTAAATGAAGATGTTATATGAACCTGGCATGTAAACACCTTTCAATCATAAGTGAAAGAGCATTGGTAAAAATGGAATATATCTTGTTCTAAAGTTCATTTTGTGTTCCATTAGGTTATTAGTTAGTTTTTGGTGAATTTTTAAAATATGTATATCAAAAAGTTAATTTTATAAAGAGCAACCTAAAATATCTTTTCAAGTGATAAAAATCCAATGTTGTGAGAGTTTTAACGTAGAAATTACTATTGTTTTTTATCATCATTTAAGGCATTGACTCTAAATGAAATACGTTATTTGGCGTAAGTATAATTTATATTCAAAGGCAAAAAAGCATTTATATAAATTTTCATTAAAATGTTTACGCTGTACGTATAACTTGTATGTTTGTGATATTTTATATGCTGCGAGTATCAAATTACGCAATGAATAACCTAATACCTGTGATCCAAATCTAGGTGTGTAGAAATTTTATCGTAAAAATTATAATCGTTTTTTGACACCATTTATTGCCTCAACTCCAAATTAAATATATTATATGCATATTTCATCATATTCGAAGGCAAAAGAGGTAAGAGTATTTACTTAAATAGGATATATTTTGTTCCAAAATATGTTTGAAAGTTTTGTGTTTTCCAGTTTTTAAAATAGCGAATCAAAAACTTTATTACGCATTAAACAACCTACTGCATCTATGTAAAGTGGTCTAAATCTGAGCTTGTTGAAATTTTGGTTGTACAAAATTGCGTATCAAAAAATGTATTACATATTAAACAACCAACTGATCTAGCAAGCGATCGAAGTTTGACTTTTTAGAAATTTTATAGTACANAAGTAGTATCTACTATTTATTTTATAAATCTTAATCATAAAAGAAATCTGCATGGAAAGCAAGTATAGAGCAAAACATTATCCAGTGTTACACAATCATGCTCTATACATTTTCAACTAAAACAAGCTAAATTTTGTCGTTTTTGTTAGAGTACGAGTTAGAGTTGAAATACGAACAAAAAGAGGAAGTGATTTTACTGCTTTCTCTAAAAGTTAAGTGGCTTTGAAATTCAATTCAAGGTTATTTCCCCCATAAAATGGGTTAACAAGTTTAAAATGTCCTGAAATATTTTGAGAAATAGGGAAAGTGGATCTCAAAGAAAAATTCGTTAAATAGAAAATTCACTTAGTTATTTGACGAAGAAATTTCCAAAATATTCTTGGTTCCTTGAAAAAATTCACAAAATAGAGGAATTCGCAAAATGGAAGTTCGTTATATAGAAGTCTGACTGTATTTTGTTCCGAAATATGTTTAAAAGTTTTGTGTTTTCGAGTTTTTAAAATAGCGTACCAAAAACTTTATTACGTATTGAACAACCTACTGCATCCACGTAAAGTGATCTAAATCTATGGTTGTAGAAATTTTGGTTGTACAAAACTGCGTATCAAAAAATTTATTACATATTAAACAACCAACTGATCTAGCAAGCGATCGAAGTTTGACTTTTTAGAAATTTTATAGTACATATTATTGTTGTTTTTCGAGCCATTTATTTAGTAATGATCCTTTCTGCATGTATTAAAAACTCTTAACGATAATTGCCTTTTTTTTAAATAACTCTTTTCTCTTTAGGTCATAGGCTAGCAACATCAGCTAAACTGACCATGTTACAAGGGAAAAGCTCAATTCCCAGTATGCATGTTACTTATAACAGGTAATTGTGCATTGCTATAATTAAGATGAAAATGTTTCCTGCTTCTTTGTGTTTTGAAGATTACTACGTAAAATTTCAATGAATCGAAAATGAGGTTTTCGATTTATTTCTCCGTCGTGACGGTGAAACTTCCTGAATGATTTAATGTCTCTTTTTATGAATATACTTATTAATTGTATAACATTTGCAAGTGTGAGAATATTTATTTACGAGTAAGCAGTATGCCTGATTTTTTTCTCCATAATATTATGTATGGCTTCGGTGACATACTTGCTAGCAACTGAATTTCCAACTAGAGATTTATTTAAATAAAAAGCGATTTATTGCAAATTATCTAGTTTAAACCTTACTCCAATAGCCGTAGTGTAATAGTATTAGATTTATGCGTAGTTGCCACACTCTCAGAAAAATCAGTTTAACTTCGAAACACATTATGGATACTGAAAATTACATTAGCAAACAAAGCCGCTGCAAACGATTTTTATTTTAGCAAAAAAAAGCCGCTGCAAACGATTATTATTTTATTTTTTGTTACAATCAATTACAAGACGGTTTTACTTCCAAAGTAATATGTTTTAATATGCCATCTGAATTAAAATGATTGCAAAAACCAAAGTTAACTTTGGATTAACGTCTTTTACAATTGTGTGTAAAATTTATTCACTTAAATAGCTTCAGAGATATAGGAAACTACGCAAAGACGAAATTTAATATTGAGAGTTTCGAAGCTTTGGATTGTTCTCTTGACTAAACAATTCGCGATCGCAACGAACTATAGGGGGCGTTGTTGTATGAGACGCTNTCTCTTGACTAAACAATTGGAACCATATTTTTCTAAATTATGGCTGCTTCATGTTTTAGGTCCCAAATAAAGAAAGTTTAGCTTATGAAAAAAAAAGTACGTCTTTGTGTCTAAATTCATAAATGAAAATATTGTTTGCACCAATTAGTTAGCATTACGAAATTAGATCCCTTCAAAAATTAAGGCAGCATTAAAAAAAAACATGCATGTCCTGTAAGAAATTCCATATTGAATTACGGTAAAAAGTGCTGACACTCAGGAGGCCCGTACTTTTAACCATTGAGTCCATTTTTACTGCAAAACAGTACGAAACAGAAAATCTGATACACAGAAATATTTATTCAACTATAATGATTCGGTGATTTTACGATAATTATTTCTGTAAAAATTACGGTATAATATTTTACGGTAAAATAGATCTTATGGATAATGCACCCAAATTGCTGGTACTTTGTACCATAATTTGATCAGGAAATTTTTACAGTGTATGTGAAACTCCGATTTTTAGATCATAAGTTGTACAGGTGTTCTGTTTCATTATTACTATTATTATTATTTTGCACTCAGAACATTCGCCACATAACCAAGTTTTTCTTGATAAAACAATACTATTTATTGATGAAAAAAATTGGCTACATATTTAATATTTTCAGTCTAAAGTTTTTTTACGTTTTTATATGAAATAAAAAAATTTAAGGAGTTAAGTTGAGATGTAAAGAGAAAAAATGAACATCGAACACGTATATTCCTCTGTTTGTAGGTTTGTAATTGATTAAAATTCTCAAAAAAAATTCAGAGTCTGTAATGATATTAGTAAGCCGGTGAGTGAATATTTGAGCAAGAAGTTCTTTGACTGGGAAAGGACCACACCCATCTGTCGAAATGTAGGAAGGAAAAAATAAATGACTATTACCTTAGAAGAGAATGTCATAAAAATGTTATCTCGCAGTTTCTTCACCACGACGAATTAATTTTTCCGCTTTTCTTACATTTCATCCTTCACGTGTTTCGTATGCGTGAACTCTTTGAGGAAGGTGTCGAATTCGCAAATAAATAAAAAAATGACTAATGTTTTTCTGTTTGTAAAGAAATAAGTTTTTTAATCTTATTTTTCGAGAGAAAATCGTGTTTGGAACTGGAGTCCTAAATAATCATTATTGCATAATACCCATTCCAGAACATAAGTTGTATTTTTTGTATTTATGTATAAGATGTATTTTATGTATGATTTATATTAAAGTTGAGATTTATTTATAATAGATATAAAGATGACAATATCTATAATTAAGTCATATATTTTTATGTTTTTGGAAATGCGATGCGTTCATAATTTTTTGAAATCTAATTCAATAATGAACGATTCATGCATCATTTCTGCGATGTTTTTATCTGTCTGTGATCCGTTTAATGCAGAGATCAGCAATCTCTTTCCAGCTTTTTTGGACAGCATATGAACTATCAAAATAACAAGATCCTATGATATATTCATATGTTTGGAAATGGCACAGTTTTCATAAGTTTTTAGAAATGCTGTTCAAAAACAAAAGCGCTACTCTAAAACCTGCTATGTTTTATATTCTCATCTTATGATACGTCAAAGTAGAGATCAACTATATTTTCTGTATTTTTGTGGACCGCATAGGAACTACAGGAGCTAACTATCTCTTATTATGTTTCTGGGAATACACTGCGTTCATAATTTTTTGAAATCGCTGTTAGAAATAACTCTGAAAAAAATGATAAAATATAAATATATTTATATTTCATTTTACCATATTTAACCAAAACAGTCAAATAACCGTAAAAAAAAGATGACATTCAAACTGTTAACTGTGAGAAAAATCGTTTGTTGACTGTTTTCACCTAATACGGTTTAAACTACCATAATTTCTTCCGCGCCAACTAGCTCCATAGCTAATGAAAATCAAACGTATATTCTTCGAAAGCAGAAAGCTAAGTCATGTGATTAGGTTTACCCGTTTACGAATTCATATTTACGGTTTTCATCGGATGTCTAACCCAGAAGCGAACAGCTAATAATCTTATAGTAATAAGTGTGCGGTAACACATTCTGAAACCACTTAGTTCCTTGTAGCTGGGTACTAACTTCAGCCAAGAGGGCTGATCTGTCAATCTCATGATCGACTGAGTGAGGATTTAAATCTCAACTTTAGCACCTCAATATTTTCTCTATTCATTTCAACACATGAGAATTTTCCAGTATCCTGAATTGGTGATCCTATACTATCGGAATACGAAACTCTCATTCACGCATAGATGGCAGCACCACAGAGCTTCTTAACACAAAAAAATCTAGTATTTTACATCTCCCACGCTAGGTGACACCACTAGATAAATTATTTAAGCCACATTCCTCGGTTTGCATAACAAAATACAGCCCCAACTCAACTGAACTACAAGGTTCGTTACCTAGCAAAAAATCTAACATAGCTTAACTCCACTGTCTAGTTACCATGAAATGAACCATGCTGGTTGTAAACGGTTACAAAACCGTGAAAGAAAAGAGATGTTCCTAACCATAAACTTTACGGTCAATTGAATAGACAGACTGCTGCAAATTATTTTACAGTAATTTAAGAATGAGAATTCTAATAGTGTAAAGAAATTGCTATTTTGAATATTGAAATTTCCATTTGTTCATTATTAATAGTTTAGTGATGAATGAATAAATAATGGACAAATGACCATAAAAAATACACCCATGATACGTAATGAATTTTTCTTATATCATTCTAACACCTACAATGTCTTACATTCATGCTATGCTAAAGTAGAGATCTGCCTTTATTTTTTCCAAATTCGTGAACCGCATGTAAATTATGGCAAGTATATTTTATCATATTTTTGGAAAGGCACTGCATTATATTTTCACTCTAAAACCACGCTCAATATCTATCTAGGATATCTTAAAATGATCAGCATATTTTCTTTCTGTGCTGCATATAAACTATAAAACATTACGTCACATCTTATAATTATATTGTTTTTCTTTAAGACATTTGTAGCTTTCTTTCAGTGTTTCTGACTTTTTCTTCTTCTTTTTTTTATGTCAATGATCTCTTTTTTATGATATCATTTTAACAGCTTCATCCAGTTGTTAAATGTGACACTTGTCGTCTACATTTGAAATATTTTTCAAGATTAAAACCGGGGCAGCTTTTCCCCATCACGACGCAATAAATATGAAAGCCTTTTAAGATAATGCTGGTATAAATGTATGATTCAGATTCTGTTCAGCCGTTTCTTCTTGTCCGCGAGTACCATTTCGTCAACAAACATAAAGATAAGAAAATTCAATTTAAAAGTCCATTTTTTGCTAGGGTAGGTCGTTGCAGAACGGAAGCCATAAATCCTACATCTTGATGAAAAAAGAAGCTTTTATTTCAAAGAGCATTGTTTTTAACTCTTTGACGTAGATAGAACACTGGCGTCCCCCTTATATATTTTTTAGACACACTAATTACAAGAAGAAATATATTTTGGTATTTTTTTAATTATAAAAAATAGTCTAATAGTTACTAAAAAATCTGCTAGATTATCGGAATTATATTTGTACTAAAATATATTTTTCATTCATATTTAAAAATGTATCAATAATTGATTTCGTAAACTAAAAAAATTTCACTGATGAATAATTTGTTTCTCTTAGATCTAAAATAAGTGCAAATAAGTGCAAATTTAAAAGAATTTTTGTTCAGAAGGGAGCCATGTGTAGAAGATTTTATGTTTTACGCAGAAAAAGTCACCGGTGTTTCATGTTGTATTTCATAGCCATAAATTTTTAAAACACTAAATATATTTTTACTTATTTTGACCTAAATTAATGCAAAATAATGAAAAAGTATGAAAAATATGTTTAATAAAAATTCTATGTCAAAGGGTTAATAATAAAATAACAGATTTAATTTATAGCAAATATAGATTGTCATTAATTAAATTTTAATTAAAACAAATTTTAACTAATTTTAAATTAAGACAGATTTAATTTAAACAAATATTACTTTTAAATTTTTGTTATTCGAAAAATAGATAGCAAATTTATGCATTCGAAACTCTTTGTTTCGACATTAGAAATGATTAAGCGATTTGTCGAGATAATTTTCATGATAGTAATTCAATGATTCGTGCATTTCTCGGCGTTACTTAATTATAATTAACTCATGTCGATATTATGTTTTATATAAAGGTTCTTTGAATGCATTACCAATCTAATAGACGATTATATATTATCGACATTTAAGTACATCATTCGCATGGGAGAGTAAAATAATGGATACTCAGATGTCTAAGATTAAAAACTTTGTAATTAATGCCACATTTTCGGTCGCTTGAAAAGAATTTGAGTAACATTCCGAGAGTACATAGTGTTTGTTATAATGTATCGAATCAAGTCTAGCACATGGCAAAAAACAAAAGCACATGACGTTCGGCAACTTGGATTCATAATTCATTTTTCACCGGCTACAAAATAACTGTTCGTTGTTGTTGACGTATGCCTGTTAAGGCAGACGGGTGCGATTGTTCATGTTTTCCAGTGGCGCCATCTATGGCAATGAATTCGACTTCTGCCACACCCATACGTCACGCCCGTTTATACGGCGGACCCATTCATACATCCATTCATTCATCCACAGATCGTAATTTTGACCTGATTTAGAAAACGATCAATCTCCAATTCAGTACCCCCAAAAGTATTGATTTGTTATGGGAACATGGAGGACTTTGCGATTCGACAGATTTAACGTTCATCAGTCACTATTTTACTACACGGGGTGTCTTCGGTCATCGGGGTTCGAACCCACGAACTCTCTGACATGAGCCCAGCACCCTACCAATCAGGCTATCCCGGCCCTAAATAACTGCTTAAAATAAATATTTGTGATATAACATGTTTAAAATTTTTTACTATTGTATCCACCGTAAATATCACATACCTTTGATATTAAGAGTTCCATTTAGTTTAATTATTTATATCGCCTTCAATACTATATTTTAATATTTTAGTTTGAATTCCAATCCTGCTATTTCCTATTTAAAATTCAATTAGAAAACACAACTGCGCATCCTTTTCTTTAAATACGCACCCCGAAATAATGGAGAATATATGTAATATCATATTTGTTTTTCATACTAATCTGCCTTAAAAAGCGTCGACCTGATATATAATTCAATTTTCAAAGTAACCTTCAACAAGTAACCTCCGACAGTAAAGTAACCATATAGATCCTCGAATATTTTAGATCAATGCCAATGTGAATTCTGGATACGGAGTGGCTAGTTGGTATCTGCTACAACATCAAAAATAAATAAGATTGAGGGAAGAGGGGGTGGTGGGAAGTTTACGTTAGTAAATGAACATGATATAATACACTAAAGAGTTATATACAAGATAATCTGGGATAGGAAAACAATTATATACAATATTTACACTATATTCAAAGTATCGAAGAGAAATAAAAACAGGCATCTTGATTCCCTGCAGTGCTCCCCCCCCCCGAAGGACTTCACGAGCTGCCCCTGAACTGTATTTCATATTTGGGTTGATTAATTCGAAATCGAAGATTTGGATATTGTAGGTTATGTTCTGAATTTAGGTTTAAAATTTTTTTATTGGCGGAAACTGGTAACCACGATGTGTTTTTCTTTAAATACATACAGTTTAAAGGGGGCCTCCCTGGTCAAACGGTATCGCCCGCCAAACGCTGTGCAAAGCGTGGAGGTAGCGGGTTCGAATCCCGCCATAACACTGGATATATTCTCCGTGATGTCCTTCTCTGAATTATTCTATCTGTCTTTCTACTTGACAAAGGTTTATAAGCCTAAATTTAGCACACAAGCCTGCAAATGTATGTAATTTCAATAAAGCAGTTTAAATAAGAGATATACAACACTTGATTTCCATGGTAGACCTCCGTAGATCATAAAAGTCTTCCACTTAATACCAAAAAAATCCATTACAGTTTCATTTTAAGGTAACCTTCATCAACATCATATGAATTCTCAAAACGTTTTAAGGTTTCATTTTGAATTATGCATATAATAATTTAAAATAACAATCTTAGGTAAATGTCAATGGCGCACTTTTTTCTTCAAACAAGAGATTGAAATAAAAGGCTGGCAAATAAAGTCAACAATTCCTTACATTCCTGAAGGCTGATTCATTACCATATTTGTTTTTCAAGGTTGTATTGTTTTTCAGCCGTGATCAATTGAGCAATATCCCTCGTTTTTCTGTTAATGTGTGGGACTAAACTGCGAATTTTTTTTGTGGGATAACTACCTACATAAAGCAGTTCAAGTATTCACTTCACTTCTTCAAGTTTAAGCGGAAGTAAACAGTACACTATTGTATTTTAGAATGGAATGCATGTTTTAGAATTTTTATGGTCAGCTCCTGGGAGGAGCTCTAAATTTGTGGGCGTGCAAAGAATAAGAATGGTCTGAAATGAGTATCTCCCCTGGTTATATATTAAATAAGATGCTTCTGTAATACGCATAACTTGTATTTTTTAATTTATCTCTTTTTTTTTTCCTTCCCAAACAAAGCAGTAATCGAGAATGAACTGAAATGAAGACATGACGAACTTGACGATAAAATTTTATGTACGCATTAATGAATTAAAATTAAAAAAGCCCTTCCAGAAAGTCTCTTTTGCTATTATATTTTTAATATTATTTTTTCATTATCAACCCAATGAGATAATCTGTAAAACATATTGCTTTATATGATTGAAATGTTGTGCGCATTAAATTCTTTTAAATTTACAAAATTATAGTATTAAAATAAAAATGACGTTGTTAAAATATTTCTAGAAAATCCATTTTGTCTGCTCTGTCATTGTTTTTCATTAAATTGTTTTATTTACATTCACTTTTTTTATAACAACCACCAAACCACTATTGATATCTATTTTTAGAATCCTTTTCAGAAAAAAAAATTAGCTAAAAATACAAATCAATATAAAGTAATAATTAGTAAAAGGCACTGATTAATAACTACGCGAATAAAAAACAAAAACTCTACTGAAATCACCGCTAACGAATCCTTGATTAAAATCCCAAAACCAGATTGACCTAGTGGAAATTATTAAAAATATCTCCAAGCCTCACCTGGCAATCAACCTGACTTTCTTGTTTTGCCACACAAGTTTTTGTAATAATCATCATCATCATCAGTACAACATTTCAGGGTGAGTCTTGGTCTTCTCCAGAACATTTGTTCACAAAGTCAAGCTTCCGAAGTTTTGGGTTACATCTAACTCTACTACTAATAATTTAAAAGATAGGGTAGACTAGTTGTATCTAAACAGAGAATATGCCCTGCGTATCCTCATTTTGCTGAACTTTGTAAATTTTTATATTAATTTTCTTATGACTTTATTAAATGTCTGTATTCGGTCTTCTTCTGTAGAAGTTGTCCTCTTTGATTCCTCCAAAATGGTTTGCGATTTATCTTTCTTTCCCATACGAGAATGTTAGCCTCTCAGATGACAGACTCCAAGTTTAGGCGTTACGAGAATGTTAGCCTCTCAGATGACAGAGTCCAAGTTTAGGATGCCTATTTCCTGACTGGTCATTTAGTCCTATAGTAAAAGACATACAATACTTGATAAAGCTAAATTTTAAAAAACTGACAGTAAAACCAGCAAGTAAAATGCAGTTAGAGTCCGCAAATTGAATGACAGTAAAGTCATTGACAGCAAATAGAATTACATTTCTGTTAAACCACTTATTTATCTCAATTATTCGTTTTAACAATAAAGGATCTTTTTCTTATAGACCCCCTCAAGCTCCATCCAGCAATCCATCTTCCCCGCAAAACCATCGCCGTTCACTATCCTACATGTCGCCAACAACATCTCGCAAATCCTATCACCAATCCTCATCTCCTCCGACTTCAGGTAGACCACTTCCTCCAACGATTTGCAGCGATGATTCATCCAATTCCAGCCTCCAAGACACCTTGGAGGGAAGATCTTCCAACAAACCTCCCTCAAGGCGTGTATCCAGGGATGGTGGTGTGACTTCCTCTGATGATGAGGGATCAGATGAGGAAAGTTATAAGAGAGCGTCCAGGAGGCGGCCTGAAAGAAGAGAATTGGTTTTCAAGGATACAGTACCCTCCTCGTGGAAGTATTCGCCCGGAATACCAAGGAAGGAGTACCAGCAACAGCAACAACCAGTAACTGTAGCGTTTGGTACAGGGCATCAAAGGAAATTAAGCGATGGATATGGTAGTAGATTACCTGCTTTGACACCAAGAAATGAAAATAAACAACCGCCAAAGGTATTTTTTCTGACAAAATCTAAATTTAAGTTTCTTTTTCAATATATTTCTGGAAAGAATAGAGTTTTAGGATTTTAAGATTATCTTATTTCCTAGTTTACATTTTCCGATGAATAAAGCCAATTTTATGGATTGTTGACCGTATAAAGTACAGATGGCGCTAGGGTCTAAAATTCGTCCTAAAGGTTACTACTTTAGATTAGTTTATGTGCCAAAGCTTGGAAAAACGCTCCATTCAATGTTATCATACTTGCAGCGTTCACAATATTACACGTTCTTTCAATTTGACTTTTCAACGACTTTTCACATGAATTCGGAAGACCCCTCAATTCTGCTATGATGCTACCCAAAAAATAACCACCGTCAATATTTTATACGATTATAACCAAGTAAGGGGTAACTCTCAAAACGTAGTAAACCTTAAACATTATTTATGTTGTGATATTAATTTTCTTAAATTCGTTTTAGGCTCGCGACCTTTTAGAATTCATAAATTTCAGAAAACTCTTATGAATAGTAAAGTTTTGTGTAAATGTGAACAAAAATCACAATAATAAAACCTCTTAGAATACTGAGCCTATTCACGCATCACCTTGTAAGAGTAACATAAGCTAAGGGATACTCCGAAGGTTTTCTAAATTTCAACCAGTTTTAGGAAGTTTGCAATTGTTTACATTCAGTTAACCATCCATAGTTGATTGAATAGTTAAAAGTTGATTATCTACTTTAAAAAGTAAAGGTTTTTCTTTTATATTTTTTTCTTTTGAAGAATTTTATTTTTTAAAGTGGATAATATTAATTCGAAAATAGTTTTATTCTTATTAGGTAATTTTCTCCCAATGTTGTTTAGTACTATAGTTATTTTGTTTTGAACAGCAAATAAATCTCTATTTCAATATTAAGACATCTTACACCCATATAAAGTGCAATTTTTAACATTCCACATAATTTCGATAAACGTAAAAAATATTTGCAAACTTTAAGTTCAGAACATAGATGAGGATCAAAAAGAAAGAATTAATATATATTATATTTTATTAATAAATAATATATTATATAGGGTATCAAATTGATATATGGACAGACTTTAAGGGAGGTAAGACACATCAAGAGGATGAAGTATTGGATAGCAACTCGTGTCCGGAAACGTCATTTCTCACAACTAGAGACGCCTCCCTATTATGAACAGTTTGCTTTTGTGCATTTTAAACGGAACTTTTAATAATTAAACTGTTTTAATTTTATTATAATATTAGGTTCTCTAGTCAAAGATTACATTCGAATTGGCCCAGAAATAACTCTATCATAGTAATTTTATAATTTGGCGGCCCACTTGGCGAGTTTGACAAGCTAGTCGCTAATTCTCTTAATTAGGTGAAGTAGCTGTTCTGTGGGGCCCTGGATTGCCTGGTTGGCAGGGCTCTGGATTAACGTTCGTGACAGTTCAAATCCATCAGTCCTAAGTAAATGGTGACTGGTACACGTTTAATCTCTCGGGTTACAAAGTCCTCCATGCTTCCATAACAATGAACGGGTGTGATGTATGGGTGAGGCAGAACTCGAATTCTTGGCCATAGATAGCTCCACTGAAAAACAACAATCGCATCTCTTGCCTTAACGGCTATTTGCAACAATAACAATAACATCCGTGCTGTGCCTATTCGAGTACGATTTTTGACTGATTTTGATAACTTTCACCAATAAAATTTTTGATTTTTCAAGTTCAGATTATTTTGTTATTAAAAGTGCCGTTTCGAATGCGTAAGAACAATTAGTTCATAAAGAGGAGACGCCTCTAGCTACGTATGATGACATTTTCGGACATGGTTTGCTCAGCAATTTTCCATCACGGTGATGTATCCTAACTCCGCTTGAAGTTTGTCCCAAATTTTATGGGATACCCTGTACATTTTAGCAGTATCAAGTATAACCTGTTCTGCATGAGCCCTACAACTTACGTATGTCTTGCAATCAAAACTTTGACCATTTTCCAATGAGCTTCTAAAGAAAAGTGATTATTGTGTCTAAAAAAATTCTAAATGTTTATTTACTTATAAATAACTTTGATTTACTTTGATTTTAACCAGTTAATTGAAAAATCTAAAAGAAACGCTAATAGTATCTATGCGCTATAGTATATGCGCATACGCATATAGTATACTGGCTTTTAATACAAAGAATTGAAAGATTTTTTTATATATACTAATGTATTTTATGTATACTAATTTTATGTATATTTATGTATACTAATGTAATTTATCATTCAACATTCATAATTGTTTTCTTTCCTTAAAAGTCGATATTTTCTGCAAAAACAAAGAGCTTTTTGTTAATAAAATATTTATAATTAATGTAATCTTATGTAATGACATATTGTTAATAATTCTAACGAAATACCTGTATTTGAAAACTGTTCAAAATACTCGGGGAAAAAATTAAATTTAGGAATACAGAATGTGTGACGCAATAACTAATTTACGGAGATGTAATTTTACTCTTTAACAAGATTTATATACAAGTTATGACAGTTCAAATGGAAAGAGGGGGACTTTTAAATCGAGACGTATTTCTTCCACAATTTTCGTAGGGATTTTTTTTCAGTTTCAAGCACTTAATTTTTTTAAAAATTAACAAATAAATTTTTCATTATAGGTAGTAAAAGTATCTCCAAGACCACATTATCCGTCCAATTGGAACGAGCCTCGATCTCAAAGCTCTGAGGATCTATTCCAGTTGCCAGCTTCAGGTCCTGCTCAACCAAGAGGCTTAGTTTTCCATTCTCGGGGTCCATCACCTGTCAATATAAAAGGAAGAAACAATATTTCAGAGCGTCTTCCGGCTGAAATCGGTTTCCGAAGGAACGATCCAAAACGTCACTCATCTCCTAGAATCAGCACAAGACCAGATGCTAAAATGCGAATATCGCCTCCGAAATTCCTCCCTGCAAAATCTCCACAAACGCCTTTACAAAATACTCGAAATATTCCCCAAAACAGTTCACCAAACAGACGAATGTTTTGGTCACCCGAGAGGCAAGCACCCTCCAAAAGTTTACTACATCGCAAAAATTCAGCTCCAACCTCTGAGAAAATTGCATCTCCAGTCTTGGAGAAACTTTTGCAAAATAGTGATCTTTGTACAGATAAGAATTTCCTGATGAAAATAGAACAGTTGATTACCGAATTCGAAGCTAAAACCAAGTTGGATGATTCGAATGATGACTTTAGTAGCGTGCAATATAATTCACTGCCGACTCATCTGGGAGACCAAACCGACTCCAAATTGAATAATTTTCACGCTAGAAAATCTCCTTTAGAGAACAATAACAACAGTAAATCTCCTTCAAAAATTCCAGTGCCTACTTGGTATTCCAAATGTCATTCCTAAGTCATCTTTTGTTTTTCTTGTAAACTGTAATTCTAGGTGTTTAAAAAGTTCTGGAATTATTTAGAAAATCGTCGTAATGGTTGAAATTCTATACTCTTATGTGTTAAACTAACAAAATAAGACTTTAGTATGGCAGACTACTTGTGAGAATTATTAGCTTTTGTGAATAATGTTTCTTAACACTCTTCTGTCAGCACATAAAATGCAGTTCTTGGACATTTAACAACAGCAAGCTTAATAACCTTAACTTGCATTTAACTTTTTTTAATTATATTAAAGAATGAAAGTTGCTTATGATTTTGCTTCATTATGCAATGTACAAATATTAAAAAATTGTAATTCCATATGGAATATATTACTAAACAAAACTTTGGTTTGTAAGGGTTTAGTCAATTTTGTTCTAGAACTTTTTGAACACATTAGCTTGTTATGTTTCACTAGACTCAATTATGTACTTACTATGTTATATACTGCATTTTGGAGAAGTCGAGGCTGATATGTCAAGATTTACTGATAGTCAAGGCTGATACGTCAGGATTTACTGATAAACAAAGCTGATAAGTCAGGATTTATTGATAACCAAGACTGATATGTCTTGCAACATTTTATAAACTATGTGATATACTTAATAAATTTAACTGAATTTTTTAAGCTCTTACTAACAAAGATAACATAATGTATTCTTGCGCAATGAACACAAGACTACTATTCATTGTGCCTTATAATTCGTATTGTGTATTTACAAAATGATATTCAAAAAGATAGTTGTTTGCAAAATGTTATGCAAATCTTTACCTTAAGAATGATGTACGAATATCTTCTAGCAATGAGCTTTCAATGATTGTGATAGCGAAACTTTTTATACAAATACCAAATAAATCTGGTACATATTAGATCAAAATTGTTAAATTTGAAGAATATTTATTTTAAAGTAAGTGATTCGGCATGTTCTTTAAAGGAATTTTCAAACTTTTCTCATTTTTTTTAAAAATTATTTTTGTAAATTCTAAAAAATTTTGAATTATTTTCTGTTATTATTAGTTTGATGAGCGAAATTGTTATTTAAAATAAAAAAACATTTAGAAATCACGGCAGTCATATTCGTTAAAATTTTATTAAGGCTAAACAATATTTTAAATGACTAAATATATACTAAAACTTAATGTTTGTAACAAAAATAACCAATCAAGCTACTAAAATCTAGTGTGTATTTCATTAACAATTGCGTTTTAATTGAAGTTATAAATGTTTTGTTTATAAATATTTTGTAAAAGACTGCTGGATGGTCTACTTTTGTCTAATACTAATAAAATATGATGCATATTTTTAAAAGAAATCCATTTACACCAGTTTTGTAACATTCTATAAGCATTTGTAATGCTCTATGAACATTGCATCATGTTACGAAGAACTTCTAGTTAAATCTTAATTTTTCTCTAAAATTATTTTGGATCGTTTATAATGCAATAATAAATTTAAATTTTTAAACTTCAGTTTAAAAATTTCTTTTTTATGATTATTATCAATATTTTTTATAATATTATGTAATACGTTTTGTATTAAGTCATTTATATCATATTTAAGTCTTAAATCGCAGAAACATTGAAGAAATATAATAATAATTCACATTAACAAATCTTTCAATTGTTGGTGAAAAACACCATGCTTATATCTAGTGTAAACTGTGAAAACTTGATAAGTACTTATCTGTAAATAATACTATAGATCAAATTGATGTAAAGATTTTGTATTTGGAAAAAATATTGCCCCAAGCATTTGAATTGTAATAGCTGTTTTTATCCTCACTTTTACTAATATCAAGATAATTGAACAGAAACTATACTGTTTTCATTTTAGGATGTTTTAAAAATAGAGGAACTTTATTTTATCATCTTAGAGTTTTAATGCAATCATGACTTTAATAATTATTTGTGAATATACTGTATACACATTATAGATTGTAAATATAGCGTTAAAATCTAATTTAATGAATTAAACGAAAAACTTCTTAGATTAAAGCAATTTATTTTTGATATATGCTGTTAATTTTTGTTAAATGTAATGTAAAAAAAAATAATTCTGTTAAAATCTGTGCCAAAAATAAATTGCGGGTAAATATGTAAATGCAATAAGTTGTATTCATTAAAAAATCAAAATAAAATAACTTCGTTCTAATTTTTTTGCCTTCAGTTTATCAATACGAGTAAAAATATACAAAATACTTTAACGATTGCACTATGAAATACAGAATTAAGAACATCTCGAATGGTTTATCTTGTGGCNTAAGTTGTATTCATTAAAAAATCAAAATAAAATAACTTCGTTCTAATTTTTTTGCCTTCAGTTTATCAATACGAGTAAAAATATACAAAATACTTTAACGATTGCACTATGAAATACATAATTAAGAACTTAGGGTAATTTTTATAATGGATAAATTATACAGAAAAACAACGTTATGGACACATTGTTGTTAAAAGTTACTGCAGTTATACAAACATAAACGCGTATATTCATCAGGGCTAAGACAATATGCGCAGGTGTTTTATTAACAGGTGCTTTATTACAAAAATTTTTAGTTAGTCGATTACGCCGAAATTACAGTATGAAATCTTGTTCGAATATAGGCTGATATTATACAAAACAGATAGTTGCAATGCACACGTGCGTGTAATACTCATAGAAGTAAAAGTATAGTGTATGGTCACCTATTACAAATATGCAGGCTCACATGGAAAGAAAAAACTTAGGAAATCCTCTGACAATTAGTCCCTTCTCTAGGTTGCTACTGTTTCTAGGCCCTGCACGGTTGTTGAATGGAATCTACGGTTGGGATCTGGAATATAACAAGCCAATCCACCAGGCGAACATCTCGAATGGTTTATACTGTGGCTCAACGGATTGAGCGCTCGTCTTCCATTGAGGTGATTCGGGTCCGAAACCCAGCGATAGCTGATTGATACAAATTCCGCACCGACCATTGTGATACTGACGTAAACATATCCTCAGTGGTTGACGAATCACGAGATAGAGTCTCTTTCCACGTAACGCTAATGCGGGTTAGTTCCATCAAAAAGTCCTCGATGAAGGCATATTTCTTCCAATACTTGATACCAGTAGAGCACCGAAGTCAAGCATCACTGGCTACGGTCAGTAAGCGGGTGGGTGACCACTTTGATCAGCCTGCATAGGAGCAGAGGGTGTACGGTAACGGTCCTCGTTAAACTGTTCTACCGTAAAGTGCTCGACTTCGCACGCAGGTCACCGGGCTACCAAAGAAGGGGTGCCATCCACCCTGCAGATGATCAAAATTAAGATGGCATGACTTCGGATCATCCTCAGGGATGTTTCCCAGACCATCGCCAATAGCCCATTGTGCAGCTCTAGTGAGACTTAAACATTGTACCTACCTATAAATACTTCATCCAAGAGTTTCCTTGTCTTCTGGATTAGATTCAAAACTACTAAGCTTCGAAGTTGAACATTAGTAGTTGTAAACTCTAAATTGGGTCTGCTGTTCAACGGCGGTTATAAAATGCTTTATTAATATGGAGAGAAGAAGGGATACGCTACCTGCGCTTTAGTTTCGCAGAAAACGATCATTATGACAGCATAGGTTTGGGGTTGTTGGCGGAGATCACATTAAAAAGCCGCACAACCCTCCAAGTCTTTGAAGGAGGAATTTTGACTATGTGGTATAGGAATGATGTTTCAGATTCCTATGTTTTCTTTTTCAAGAATAAGATGGCACTAATTTCATTTTCAGAATGCTTAACCTCGTAGTCTCTTCTGGATAATTTTCGAGAAAATAAAAGTTACGATATTCTCCCGGTAGATTGGCCATCTAGATCTTCGGACCTCAACTCATAGAGTATATCTGGAAGACTCTTGGAAATGGAAATCGAACTTGCAATCTCCTTCCGACAACCATTCAGGATCTAAAAGTTGCCTATCTGAAAGAGTAAGACCAATTACCACTGGAGCTCTTAAAGTGCCTCATTTTTAGTCAGAGTTCACTGTGTGATACTGCAGTAAGAACATTGTTTAATTATTTATATTGGAAACGGTATAGCTTAATTTATTCTTATTCTTCAATGTTTAAGAACTTTCATTTTAACAGACAAAAAAGTGAAAGCAGTTAAAGAGTTTAGTGCTTTCAAATCTATCGATGCACTTGGTTTTATTTAGTAGTTGAAAATTATAAAGGGACAATAAATGAGATTTCAAAATTTACAAATGGATATATTTAACTTTTAATGATGGTACATTCCAAAATATACAAGGTTAACATAATTTAGTTTATTGAAATGCTTTAGAAATGAAAATTTAGTTGAATTTTTTCCCAGTAGTTAGACACATGAATGTATTATACAAGATGAAGAATATATTAAGTATTATTTTCACGAATGCTCTATGCGGAAGAAGCGAGGATTTAGTGATTACTTAATGTTTGAACTTCTGGTCCAGATTACCCAAGTTCTAATTTAAGAAGAAATTCGTATTAAATTACTCTCTATACTACAGTCATTTAATTAAACTGGCTGATTGAAGAAAAATAAATACAAAAAAAAAAAAACATTTAGATCATAAGTAATTTTTAATACTGTTTTTTTTCCACGTTTTTAACGGCAACTATTAGGAGCACAAATATAGTCTATCAAAAGTATGATATAAAAATAAATAAAAAATCAGGATTATTTTTTAAGGTAAAATAAATAATTTAAAAATTATGAAAAAACTTATTAAAGATGTACTACTTTTCATTTTTGAAGTAAAAGTTTAATTTTTGGATAAAATCTAGAGTGATACTAAAATTTTAAAAAAATAAATAAATTTAAAAAGAAAAATAATAATAATAAATAAATAAATAAAAAATAAATAAACTGCTTTGAAAATAATTTGGTAAAAATTTCGAACAGTTACTGTTACAGCTTGGTGTATAGATGAAATGAAGCACATAGGTTGGGAAAAAAAATTAGTGCTTTAGAGTCTGCTTTGGAGGAGGTTTTAGTAAAGTGGTTTTAGTATACGGATAGACCGAAATAACATAACTAAAGATGAATATTTAGCAATCATTTTGCAACAATGGAGAACTGCTTTGAAAATTATTTGGTAAAAAGTTCGAGCAGTTAAGTGGATTGAAACTGAAATAACATATCTAAAGATGAATAGTTAGTGATCATTTTGCAACAATGGAGAACTGCTTTGAAAATTACTTGGTAAAAAGTTCGAGCAGTTACCGTTAGAGCTTGGTGTACAGATGAAATGAAGCGCATAGGTTGAGAAAAAAATTTAGTGCTTTAGAGTCTGCTTTGGGGGAGGTTTCTGTGTAAAAGATATGTTAATGAATAAAATTTTTGTCGTATTTTGAAATCAAAAAGTATGAAAACTTTAATCAAAGATATCAAACTAATTGGTAGTAAAAAAAAAGAAATTTCGCTCCTTTTGTGCGAGAAACCATGAAATATGATCTAATTTCAACAAACTATTCACTTATTGTGATTGTTATCGACTCAACATTTGCCACTAAACAATAATTTTTAACAAGATGTTATTTGCGGCGATTTGTTAAAACAATAAATAGTTATTTTCCATTGTAAAGCGAAATGAATGTTGAGAATACTTTCACTAGTTTTAGTCATTTCCTCAGCCCATTAATAACACTGACCTGGTCATCGTAAAAGGTCAATGGTTTACCTTTTGTAGACAAGGGAAAACAAGTTATTCCGCCTCGTTGCCATGTTTGGTCACTGCGTTGGTACGGAACAGGTTCTTTAATAATTAGATACAAATCAGAAACACGATGACTAAAACAGATATATAGAATTTGTCATCACTAAACGCAAGAATAGAATAATAATGGACAATTATCAAGTCCATCAAATATGGGCGTCAACAAATAGTCAACAAGTTAATAAAAATGTATGAGGTAAATCTCTCATGGGAGTTTAATTACTCTGATGCAAATATTTCGAACTAGATAATATAAAAAAGTGTATGATATAATCTATAAAGGTGCATTGTGTACAAAATTTTTGTATATATATACACACACTCATAAAGCATTATAGCTTATACTCACTGTAAAATTTTTCTAGCTTTATTTTCTTTAATGGTTTAATGCCTCTAATAAAAAAAATGATCTCTCAATACTGATTTTTATGAATTTGGCTGAATTCAAATTATGTTAAGGATATCGAAACAAAATAACTAATGCATATTGTCAGGGTCACGTGATGTAATAACACGCATTTTCTGATGTTGCGAGCTAAAAGCTTGATATTATAGATATGATCATTCTTTTTTTGTTTTGGTTTTTGAACGATGGATGAAAAAGAATAATAAAATGGTGAATTAGTTTTTGTAGAATTTTGCGTTATTTCTTTTGTAAAAGGTTACGACTGACACATATATAAAAAGAAGACAAACTAACAAATGAAAAAGTTGTCACGAAAAATTATAATTCAAGTTACAAAACAATTTAGTTATATATTTGTTATTTTGAAAATACTTTTATTACATTCTGGAGTAGAGGACATTTCTAAAATGCTCAACACACTTCATTAAGTATTAAAATTTATTTTTTTGGAAAGCTATATTAATTCAAATAATTATAAAAAAACACAATATATAAATAAATTATATGACATTCCCTCATTTTATTTAGATTAATACGGGTTCCACGACCCCGAGAATGTCCTTTCTTTTTTTAATGTTTGTTTCCGATTCTCTTCCTTTTTGTGAAAGATATAGTTTCTAACAACGTTTAAGCATGATTCCTAAACCAGGTGTTTCTAAATATTTAACTTAGCGACAAACTTTATAGAAAGCGAATCTTTAACGACCCACTTAATTCTCTGCTCCAATATTCTTTTCAGAGGCAAAGAGAACACGGTTATCAAAAAAAAAAAAAAAAAAAAANAACTAATTTCGATTATTATTAACTAGGGTGCGTAGCGTTTTTAAAAAGTGCTTATTTTCGATTTTTAAAAGCCCTTAAAGGGATTTTTTCTTTTGGTGTTTTTAAAAAGTGCTTAATTTTCCCTTTTTCAAAATGATATTTTTCCTATTATGTGGATTTCCGCTTCGAATTATGCAAAGAGACACAGCTCACATTTAACGTTTTCACAATTAAATCAACCCCAATCTATTTCGGCGTATTGTCAGTCCGTAGCGTATGAAAATAACATTCGTTTTACATGATTTTTGACAATTATCAAAAACAATGCCAAAAGGTTTTTTTTTTCTTTTTTGACATGACGATTAAAACAAGATAAAACCGTAAATTGTCAAAAACTTTCCAACCCTGTCTAATTATAATAGTTTTTAAAGTGCTTAAAAATATTTTTTGAGTGCTTATTTTTTGTTGAATAATTTGGCTAAGCACCCTGTTAACCGTTTTTTTTATAGAATTTAAGATAATTAATTAGAAATCAAAATAAATTATTATATATTTATGTCTTCGTTGTCTGCAGGTGAAAACTCGCATGGAGAGTTAAAAATTACTCAATAAACCTTATTAATATATAATACGACTGACATTTTTATTTTCACGTGATATATTTAATTGTATAAACGATTTTCTGAAATATTTTAATATATGGGCGAATCTCAGGAATCGAATTCGATCGATTCTCTAGGTCAGGAGTCCCCAACCTTTTTGTACCTAAGAGCAAATACCAGAATATCGGTCGAGTGGCGGGCACCATTTATTTTTTCAAGATAAATTTATAGTTGGTAGACATAGGAAATAATATACACTGCATGTAATGCACAAAAAAATTAATTTAACATATGAATATAATTAGTATTAATATCCTTGAGTAAAATAAATTATTACGAAATTGTTTGAAAAACATACAAAGTATAAGAGTTCATATATTCAATTCGCGAGTGGTCAGCTATATTTTGCTTTGTGCTTATATCTGTGGGAATGGAGATCCTTTTCCTGGCGATTTCTATTTTGGTTAGGTTTATCATCTATATTGAGAAAACAAAACAAATTACATAACATTTTATGGAAAAATTGAAGACGGAAATATTTTATTGTTGGGCACATCTAAACCGATCGAAGGGCGCCATGGTGCCCGCGGGCATAGGGTTGGGGACCCCTGCTAGGTTGTCCAGACCGTAACCCCAGGATTAATTAATTGAATTTAACATAATAAGAGCATCCAAAATTTTCGACGTTCACGATTATTTTCTGATATTCAATACATTTTCAAACAATTCTGGAGGAGTAAAAATAGTGAGCCTATTATTTTTTTATTATTATCAAAAGTTAAAGGTTTTAGAGATCGGCACATATAGCAGGAAGCATGGAAGTTCACAAATATAATAATACAAACTTTATTTTTCGCAAAGCCTTAAAAGAAAAAATTAACAGAAATCACACACATTAAATTTTTTTCTTAAAAGTAAACAAATAAATAAAAAAATAAACCTAAATAAAAAAAATGCTTATAAATTTTATTGTTTTTGTCATTGAAAGTGTTTCTTTTCTTTTAAATTTATTGTGTAAGTTTTAGATGTATTTAACATCTAAAACTGAAGAAACAATCACGTTTATGTGGGCAACTCAAAAAATAGTGAATTAAATTTAATATAAAAATGCATCATAGTATGGCAAAAAAGATAACAAAAAGGTAGTGGCATGAGTCACTATGTCTAGTATTAGTCACTATGTATTTAGTCACTAAGTATGACAGCAAGATAGTTCAAAAATGATGTACCAAAATATGACAAAGAAAAAAAAAATCATTCAAGTTATGAAGACTTTACTATGAGACAATAAAAATAAAACAGTGGTAAAAAATTTGTAAACAAGATTAAAAGAAAGTTTCTCATTTTAGTTACCATGTAATAAACTTTATAAAATTAAAAAAGAACAAATATTGATCCCATGTTTGCATTTTTCCTATAAATAGTCATTGACTTTTTTAATTAAACAGTTAATTAAAAACATAGAAATGTAACTGCTTTTTTAGCTTCTTGAGGAGAATAAAAATATGAAAAAACAGATTGTCTTACAATAGGTTTTTTAGATGGAACTAGAAAGACCTGCAACTTTTTAAGTCTAAAAGAAAAAAAGTATTAACAACAAAATCACCATTAATAAAATTAAATATGAATCATTTAAAAATAACTGTAATTACATAATCTGCATTTAATATCTCTATCAGAAAAAAGAAATCCGTCCGAAACTTGTCCGCAGGCGAAGGGGGCAACCGTTCCTGGCACCCAGCTAAAAGGAGAACATTTAACCTCTAAAACTTTATATTTATTATTTCTAAAAGGATACTAACTTTTTTTAAGATGAACATTTTTCTTAAGCAATATATTTTATAAATAATAAACAATTTCAAAAAAATTTAAACGTGAAATTTAGGGCCATTAAAATTTACATTTTCTTTAGACTTAGAATACATTGCTAGAAACAATAAATTTTCAATTCATACACAACACTCATCTGGTACTGACATAATTTTGATTTTTGTTAAATCAATTAAGTTCAAATTTATCATTAAAGAATGCTTTTTTTAAAAAAAAATATTTTATTGTCAATTTCAATACAACATACCACAATTATTAAAAATTTTTACATATTTTTAAACTTTGCTTCATAAATTTTTAAATAAGATATAAATAAAGCATAATATAATCAATTTGAAATATATATATATGTTATATGTAATAAAATAGATTTTCATCAAAGTAAACATATCCACTAGTTTTGCCAAGGGTGCAAGGGGGAAAAAACACCATTATTTCTGCTTTTTTTTTCCTTCTGAAAAATAGATTTTATGAAACATATGCTCAGTAACAATAAAAGATTGAATAGCACAATAAGAAACAAGTTGCTATTGTGTAGAACAAAAATAGTAAAATTAAGAAAAATCAAATATAGTAAAGGAAAATTTTAGTATTTATTTTCGCAAAAAATAATAATTACAGTCAGTAGATAACAGGTCAGAACCTATTAAACCACAACTATGGCATAAAAAAAAGCAGCAGACTTGAATTGCAGTTGCTTGAGTGAGAGAGAGGAATGAAGCACTTTGAACTCGCTAGATGATGGTAGTTGTTTTGCAAGCAATGAAAAAAAGGATGACTAAGCATCTTTCAGTCCATTGATTTTGTTTCTGAAGTGGCGCATAATGTAGACCTCTAAAGAGCAACAGGTGTTACGCCTTTTGATAGTGGAGGGTATAGGAAGTCCTAAAATATATTGATGAATAGAAGGAATATATAAAATGCCTTGTATCCCTGTCAAGGATTCAAAACAAAGACAATAACCATGGACTGTATACAAAGTCCTAAAATCTATTGCTGAATGGAACAAATACACAGAATGCTTTGTATCCCTGTTAAGGGTGCAGGATTGGGATAAGTAGTATCAAATACACATACTACTTGGGGATAATCTATTGAGTAGAGCATGGAAGTTTGTCCGAGAACAGCATATTTGTGAAAGCGGATGAGCCAATTTAAAAAAAAAAATCGTGTTGCAGTAGATGGCCTTTTTTTGCAAAAGTGGAGGGTTTGCTATGGTACAGTTCATGTAAAGGTAAGTAAGACATTTCTCCAAATGGTAAGTTCCATGCCACTAATAGAATAGTCCACATCTGTTTCCATGTTAGTTCCACATCAGTGTTGAATGGAAAAAAGTGCTGTGGGGACTACAGTTTAAAACAGATGCTGAAATCAAGGACTGCCTACACCACTGATTTTAACAGCAACATAGTTCTTTTTTAATGAACATAGTAGTATGTAACTCTTGTCACACTGGGATAATTGCCTAAATAATTATGACCAACACTTTTGAGTTTTATTAAATAAATTGTACGAAACAGCCTCAGCATTGCCTTTTTATTGACTGGTTCAAATATGTTACAATTCTCAAAAGAGCATTTCAAATGAAAATGTATTACTTTAACAATGTTTATCATTAAGGCACAAAATTAGATTTTCTTTGAAATAAAAGTCTAACCAAGGTTAGTTAAAAAAAATGTTGAAATGATTACTTAAGTTTCTTTGAATTGCAAAAAGTTACAAGTATGTCTCATTATGCTTGTCAAAAAATTTGCTCTTAAATTTCTGAAACAAATACTTTAACAAATTAAATAAATTATCAAAGTAAATTATATTACTTCTTTTACCTTTAAAAGAAACATAATTAATGAAAATAATTATTAATGTATTTATTATTGTAATTATTTTAATGTGCAATGCACACAAAAAAACCACACTAAATAACTTTTGTTTTGATTATTGGATTTTCACAGACTAGAACTCAATTTTGATATTTCGAGGGCCTAAATATGCTAACTAATTATGGCAGACAATATTTTAAGTTATGGAATCAGACACAAAAACGCCCTTTCTCTGAATAAACATACCTTTTTTTTAAAAAAAAGGAATCAGATTTCTGATCCTCAAAATATAGATTGTAGCTGCAATCTGTGAAATACGGTCCCAATTGTTTGGTCAGAAGAGTGGCCCTAAGTTTGAACCTCATAATGTTAATTTTATTTGCATATTTCACCACAGCTTGAAATTTTTTTAAACGAATTTAAATTTTTTTGCCAACAATTAAAAAATTCTTTTCTCTAAAGATTATTTCATGAGAATAATTTTAATAATTACTTATAATTTTTCATTTTAAATTAGCCTAAAAAAATTTTGAATTGTAAGATTTTTACATCTTTTTAAAAAATTTAGTTTTATTAGGCAAAAAACAAAATTTGAATGAAATTGGTTGAAAAGTTTCTGAGAAATCAACTTTTAAAAATATGTGTTCAATGAAATTTGATTTCTCAGGAATGATTCAACCGATTTCGTTCAAATTTTGTGTTTCGCCTTGTAAAATTATATTCTTTAAAAAGATGTAAAAATGTATATCCCTTATAATACTAAATTGTTTCAACTATTATTAAAAAAAATAATAAATAGTTACTAAAAATTATCTTTTCCATGGCTTTATCTTTGGATAAAAGAATTTATCCATGCAAAAATTTTTCCATTCACCTAAAAAATTCTTGAGATATGGCAAACCATGAAAAAAAGTAAAATTAATATTAAGGGGTTCAAACTTTGGACTGCTCTACTGACCATTTTATTGACCTATTAGGAGCATATTTCTTAGATCGCATCTCCTCCATATATTTTGAGGGTCAGAAATCCAAAAAGGATGTTTATTAAAAATATATATATATATACACATATTTATGTCTGATTTTGTAACTTATATTGCCTGCACTAAATAAGCATGAGGCTATCCCCTCGAACCATTAAGGCAGAGTTCTAGTACATAAAAATCTGATCATTGTATCAAAGTTATTCAGGTTGATTCATTTTATTGATTTTTTGAGTACTGTACATAACATGCAGTAATTAATGACCCTTTGATTTAATATTAAATATAATTACCTGTATCGTAGTAAAATTTAATTCAAAGAAATAAACAGGGAGTATTTTGACAAATCATACAGAAATAAGTAACATAATTTTATGAAAAATTATATACATATACAAAAAAAAAATATTAGATTACATTTAAATTAAATAAGTGAAAAATTGCTTTAGAGAAGCATCAGGTTTCTTTTTCTATTGTCAAAGTTTTAATTTAAATCAGTTAATTTAATTAACAGAAATATTGTAGTCTTGGATTGTTTTTTCCCTACTTATCATTTATTCTAGTCTCTTTGCAGTGGCTCTAACACCAAGGCGCTTTCTCTTTACACCTAATACTTTTGAATTTTTGTTTGCATCAAGTGTAGATTCCTCATTATTATTATCCTTTCGACTTGATCTGAGTGAAGTATCTCTTTTTAAATGGCTTTTAGGTTTATCTTTTTTGGCATTTTGATTAGGTTGGAGTGGCGTTTTTCCCCTTCCGAAAGATGAATCATTTGCTTCTTCTTCTTCTATTGGTTCTTCTGGTTTTCTCTTTACTCCAGATACTTTTGAAGTTTTACTTGCATCAAGAGTAGATTTATCATTGTTAGTAGCATGTCGACTTAAGCTGAGTGAAACATTTCTTCTTAGAGCTTTTCTAGGCTTATCTTTCTTGGCAACATTTTGTTTGGGTCGGAGAGATGCATTTCTATTTACTGCTGATGAATTGTTAGTTTCCTCTTCCATTTGTTCATTCTGCACAGAAGAATCAGATTCATTATGAACAGACTCATCATTAGACTGATTTTGATGAGATTCTTCAATATCATTTGTAACATGTTCATCAGATTGTTCATTAGCCTCTGCTTCAACTTCAGACTGATTAACTGTTTCATGATGACTAGATGCAATAGAAGACATGGTTGATTCATCTTGCTGTTGAAGAACAGATGCAATCGCAGATGCATTGATACGAAAATCTCGAGCTGTGCTAAGTTTCATATGGTTTACTAAACTTTTATTGAATTTTTTGGAAAGGAGAATAAGTTCTTTTTCGTAAGATTCAATAGCAAAAACTAATGTTGGAATGGTTTTTATTTCTCTCATAGCTTTTGAGGTAGCAGCAGAGTTGGCTTTTTTCTTGGCGCCACTATCTCCTTCTGAAACAACCTGAAGATAAGTAATAAAACTATAAACAAATGTTGTTAGCTTTGTGTGGGATAATTTCACCAATTTTTCAAAAGCAGAATGCAATTGAACAGATTTAGATTTAGTGTGAAGCATAAGGTAATATTTTGCGAGAGAGGAAAGAGATTTATAAAATCTGGCCACTAATTTCAAAACATTATTAGCAACATTATCTGGAGGGACACTAGTTTGCACCATTTCATGCAACACCAGAATAAAATCAGAAAGCCGAGAACAAAGTCCTTGTTCCAAAGTGAACTTATCAGCATCTTTAACAACAGATATCAGTTCTGGTGGTATTGATGTATTTGCTTTTGTATAGTTAATTAAACATTCAATTTCATCCATAACTAAATCTAAATTGTATATTAAGTTAGGCACAATGTTTCGTGCTACTTCTTGAGTAATTATACTAAATTTAGGTGATCCTACAACATTCTCATCTGGATCAATGTCCTCCATGTTGTAATGTATATCAAAAGCAACTTCTTGAAAGAAAGTTAAGTCAGTCGATTGATGATGAGCAAGGCTAAGAGACAAAAAGATAACAGACTTAGAAATTGATAAGTTTTGAAATGTCTGTTGAGAACAAAGTTGTTTTAGCCATTTGTAAATGTCACTTGTAAATTCATTTGAAAATGAATCATACAAAGTCTTAATTATGGATAATAAAGGCACAATTTCCTTGACACTAATATCATTTTCAGTATCAGCTAATAATTTGACAATAGTCTTCTGAATGGATTTCAATACAAATTTAATTCCTTGACTAGATGAAAGGGAGTCTTGATTGCAAAGATTTACTATGAATTTACCAGCATTCTTTAGTTTGAAAGAAGTAACATAAGTGAAAATTGATGCCAGCCCTTCAGCAAAAGTTAAAGGTAGTTTTTCTAACTCCAGAGTTGGGTAATGAGCTTTTGGAAAATCACTATTCAAGCCTTCCATGTAAACCTTAAAATAGACCTTTGCTATGGATGATAAATAAGAAAAATAGTTTGGTAATGCATTAGAGAAATTATCAATGAAACCAGTGTCTGCAGATTTTGATAACTTTTGATTACAAACTGTAACAATATATAGAACAAATGCAGAATTATTCCTCAAAACATTTAAGCCGTCTTGATGTTTAAAAATACCATCAGTAAAAATACCCTCTAGAGCCCTTGCAAAAAATCTAATAGTAACATGCATTGGAGAAGTTACATTAACAATCTTTGCTTTGGGCTTCTTTTGTTTCTTTGTATTTAATAATTGTAGTATTTCATTGTATTTATCAAAAAGTTTCACAAACTCCTCACAGAGTTCAGAATCATACTCTTTATTTAGCATTAGAGAGTATTCCATTAATGTTTCGTAACAATTTAATATAAGACTCGATTTTAAACTTGTGCTGTTTGATTCATCAGGATCTTTTGCATTAACATTGAGATCCGTTACATCTACATCAGGCAATTTTTTCAACAAGTTTTGAAACAAGTCATACAACATTTTTTGAGCACTTTGATCATAATCTTCTTCATCAATTTCAGAAACATCTCCAGCTTCATACAAAATTAAGTGTATTACACAAAGAAGATGGGCTAAAGGTTCTTCTAGAATAAGAGTTCCTTGTTGATCTTGAAGACACAAGTTGAAATGCAATGGCAGGGTAGCACCGTCAGATTTATCATAGTATTTTTCTATTTGTCCCAATAAGAGTTCAAGCACAATGTCTTTCAAGGATTTATTTTGCAGTGTGACATCATATAAGTTTTCATATAATAACTGACGTACAGTACCTTGCTGCATTAAAATTCTTTTCAATAGACCCATAATTTCAAGGCACATTGTTTTAGAGGTTGGATTACCAGCACTAACATAAACATCAGCTTTAACTTGAGTTGATATCATTGATGCAGAAGAAGCTTGACTACTGAAAGATGTCTGGCTTTGGCTCAGGGATACTCTACCGATAGAAGTTAACTTTTTCAGAATCATCAAATAGCCACTTACAGCTACTTTTCTGGCACTAACATCTCTATGAAATAAAGCTTTCCTTAAAACGAGCATTAAAGTGTCTTTCAAAGGTGCACTTATTCTCAGCAACGGGGCAAGCGCTGAAAGAATGTCAATGGCATTGGAATGTGGTACAAGATGGATAAAATCTAAAATCTCAACTAATTTGGGAAGAATTTCAAGAAGAAATAAAGGATCACTTTGAACAATTTGGGATAAAATATCTATGTAATGTTTTACAGGTTTCTGAGACTTTGTAATAATTCTGTTCAGAATTTGATCCAGAATTTCCAACCTAACAATACGATAATTTTTAAAAGTGTCTCTTAAAATATGACTCCCTAAAGCACATCCTTCCTCAGAATCCGTTTTTACTGCTGTTCCTCCTAACACATATCGTGGCCCAAATGTATCAATCACTGAAAAGCCAAATTTAACCAGACCTTGACAAATATGATCCCAACCATAACGGCCACACTTTATGGTTTCTTTGATCAGTGCCAACATGTCAACATTATTTGGAACCATTTCTCGCAGCCAGTGAGATATTTTCTTCTTCTTTTTTAAATCATATGCTGACAATAAAGATTTTTTTAATACGTCAAATATTTCATCTTTGCCAGATACACTCTTAGACAAAGATAATGAGCATGCAAAAATGAATGGCAAAAACATAATTCCAGTTTGATGTTGAATTTTCTTCAACAAAGCACAAAACTCTTTGCAAATAGTTTGGTCATGCTTTGAACTATCAGATATCATGAGGATTACTGTACCCTCAGTTTGGCGGTAAACTACCTCATCGTCATTATCAATTAAATCCTCACTATTACGTTCGTCGTCAGATTTATGAATCAGTTCATCGTCTTTTTTAATGAAGTAGGATGAGACATTTTGAAAAATTTGTTGTCGATTTCCTTTAGAAGAAAATAGTAAAAGCTGATATACAAAAGAAGGCAAGTTATTGAGTTCAACTGTAGGCAAAAGTTGCAGTAATTTTTCTGACACAAGTTTTAATTCATCATCAGAGAGTTCAATATCTTTGAGTACTGAAGTTAGCTGAATCATGATTGGAATATCTAGATTTTCAGAAAGCAAAGATGATAGAATATCTTTTCTCAATTCTTTACCAGACATATCTGCACCCTGATGAACAATCGTATCTCGTACGTATAAACATGACAATACTTTAGCAAGTATTTCTAACCATTTAGAATTAGAGTCAGAAGCTGTTTTGGCGTAATCTATAAGAAATTCAGCCAACTTTACAAGATAGGATGTATGGAAGGTATCGATTTTTATTAGTAAATTACTAACAATATCTGAGACTAAACTATTAGATACATCAGTTATTTGAAGAATTGATAGAGCACATTTGAAAGTTTCAAATCGACGTTTCTCACTTTCATCAGAAACATCCGAGTAGCCTTGTAAAATACCTCTAATATAACTGCTAACTTCTTTGTTACCTGTTCTCGCTTTCTTTTGAATCGTTTGCAGCAGTTCGTGAAACGGTACAGAGTCCAAAATTTCTTGAAGTTCCATACTTAAAAATAGAAATTTAAACTATTATACAATATATATTTCTCATTAAATTGGCACAATTATAAAAACATACGTGAATAGTCTAACTTGATTTCGCGCCGATCTATGATGAAATTTTGTTTATTTAGATTCTGAAAGTTACGGTTATAGTAATTACGATAAACCACGAATATAGTAATTCAAATTTTACTGCAGCAAAATATAAAGGAATCAGACTGATTGATTTCAAAAAAAAGTTTCAAAACATTAATATAATGCACGAGAATTTAATGATATAAATAACATAGTTCATAAATAAGCATATAAGTAGTCACATACACATAACCGCGTCAGAATGAAGTTTCCTTGTTTTGTTGATATTTTTCGTTGTTTACTTTTGGGATAACATAGCAGTCTGCTTTTCAATACAGCAGTCTTGCTAAAAACTTCAATCATGTTGGGTGAGATTTTGCTAAATCTATAATTGATTTTGAAAGCAAAGAAATATTGTTAAGAACTTTGAATTAAAATTATTTTATGCTTTTAATAATTATATATTTTTACATAATAAACTTTTAAATATTGCTGTTTCGTATTGATTGAATATCTTATCTGTAAAAGATTCAAATGTCTGATTAAAATTTTCTTTAAATTTTTTGATTAAATCGTTTTGTTATATTTAAAGACAAGTATGGTGAGGATGATATCCAATAAGTTCGTCGTTCTCTATGAAACTGATTTGAAACAATATAATCCATTTCATTTACAAAATGTGCCACAAATTCAAATCTGTTATCTTTATCTGAAATTTTTTTTATTAATAGATTTTTTTTGAAAATCAGTATTGCTATACATTCATTTCGTAAAATGATGACCTTTAGCATGTTATTCATTTTTATGTTACATAATTCTTCCTTATGAAAGAAATATAACAACAGTAACTAATTTAAGCATTTCACACATGTTTGATTGAATAAGAGAATGAGTTATATAAGTACAGTGCAAGCAGTAGTAAAAAACAAATAAAAAATTTATTACTTTATTTAAAAAATTTAATTAAAGAAGTTTGCCACCAATATAAAAAATACCTAAAAATTTTGACGTTTTCAGGCTTTATATATATTGTTCATTATTTTTAGCATTATGTCATATCTGTATTTAATGCTTTCTTAATCTACTTTAGATAAGTGTGCCAGAGTGTTCCTACAAAGGCGTTTATATTCAGCAAAATCATTTCCAAAAATTACCACCCATTATACTGTCATCCCTAGAGAAACAGATCCTCGTTGGAAAGGTAAGTAAAATTTGTGATAATGGTACATAAGGAATAAAAGATACTTTTCAAGGAGATATTCACATTCATAGTTATACCCTTCATCATCCCCTTTAGTAATATCATTTTGTATTTCTCTTATGTCACTGTCCAGTTTTGAACAATGGGCCTGTGAGAAATGCAAAATATTGTAAAACTCCAGTTTTAGACTGTGACTTGTGAGACTGACAAAATTTGACAATGTAGAGAGGTTTGGCAATTAAATGTAGAAACATTAACTTAATTATTTAGCAATAATTGAAAATATATATATCAAATTATTAGTGAGTTTTATATTTTTTAAAAAGTTGTCAATTTCGATCATTTGTAAGCCAAAAATATGTGAATTTTTAATATTGTTTGAATGTACCTTATTATTTTTATATACCTTATTATTTGATTCTAACAGTGTCTTCATGTATTTTATTTTTTATAAAGTGGTATTTCCATATTGTTACCTTTTTGATCTACATGAAACTGCGGGCTGTTGTAATTTTAGAAATATATATGTATGTTTATATTTTTAAATAGAGCTGGGAGCTATTTACAAGTTTCACTGTTCAAATTTGTCCAATTCAGGAAATTTTTTTTTCCTTCTTAAGTTTCTTGTTTACTACAACCTAGTTGTTCTCAAAAGTCAGTGAATATTTTGATACTGGTACTAATACAAAAAATCTTTAATTTTATAATGTGTGCTAGTTCAAGCAAAGCAAAGCATTTTTTAAGTTAATTGTTAGGCTGAATTTAACTGTATTAAAATAACCATAGTAATATTGCCCCTGGAAAATATTATGTAAGTAAGAAGCTTGTTAGAGAGGTAAACAAAGGTTGAAACGATGGGTTGAATAAGAAAGATAGAGTAAGTTTTTTAGTTTATCAAAATAATGTAGATGGAATATTGCACCTTTAATATAAGTTGGATATCACCCATATATCCCGTATATCCAACTTAATATATTATGTATCTCACTGTTTTTTTTTATCAAATATTTTTCCTGATTTCGTGTCAAATTATATATTTCCTCCAAATATCTTATTAATATGAACTTGTCAAATATTGGTTTAATGACTAGTAACATTGATCAAAAACAACCAGGCTTCTTCTTTTGAAAAATACATATACTGTCTCTAAGATAAGCCCAAGTTGCTTTTTAAAGTAGCAATTTTCTTCAAATGCATGAATAAAAATAAAAGAACTTTTTTTTGCTCTCCTAAGAAATGACAATCTCATAATCGAGAAGACCATGACCTCCTTACCTGACAATTAATGATTGGGGAAGCACTTTTAATGCACATCATTGTATGTTCTTTCACACAAAAACCTTTAAAATTTAGTTTATGCTCGTGATATAAACCATAAAATGTAGAGATTTATGTATGAATGATGGCTTGGAGCATCCTCATAAAAATAGTATGTTGACATAGTATTTGTAATTCATATTGCATTAAAAATTTCTCTAAAATATATGTTCCCACTTGTTTTGTCTAATATTTTTTTTTTTTCTCTTCAAGATGTGCCAATGGAAAGAGAGAGCTGTGAAACAGATGTTGTAATAGTTGGTGGTGGTCCTGCTGGACTATCTGCTGCAATAAGACTGAAACAATTATCTAAAGCCAAAGATAAAGAACTCAGTGTGTGTGTCATTGAAAAAGCATCTGCAATTGGTAAAAAAAAAACATGTTTATTTAGTTATAAAAGTTTACAGTTGTGTTTCACGATTTTAATGTTTTATTTTCATACTTGAACATTTTATTTTGTATAATTTTTATCGTCTAGGTTTGAATTTTTTTTTTCTTCATGTAAATGTAAAACTTTTAATGTAAAATTATGTAGAGATTTTTTTTTTTTTTGCATTTGTTAAAAATAAAAAATTTTAAATTTGTGCATACATTGGTGTTTTTGCTTTTTATTATAATATATGTAAGCCAGAAAAAGTTATTAGTTTTTGTAATCTCTACAAAATGAGTAATGCTAAGAATCATTATGATGTTGAAAAACTCATAAATTAATAGTAGATTTATTTTTATAAATAACTATACAACAAAACAAAAATAAGCTTACATGTTTTACATAGAATAATTTTACCTGGGTTGCTAGTATGATTTATAAAATTTTAATTTTTCCATATATCTTGTGTATCACTAAGCTCATCTCTTAGTCTATAGTTTTTCTATCACTGATATAAAAATTTATGAGGTATAGTTAAAAATACATATTTTTGTATGGAATAGTCAAACCATAATGTAGTGATGAAAGGGTGGTAAAGGAACTACCCAATCGACGACTAAGGTCACAAAGCTTTTAATTTTATTATTAAATTAATTTTTTTAACAAGTAAATATTTGATTCCAGAAAAATATTTTATGAGGATTAAAATGTTTTTTTTTCTCTGTAAGATAAATTTAATAATAAAGTTCTAGATCATTACAATTTAAATCTTTGAATTTGAGAGAAAAAAAAGTTAAGATTATTTTCTTGGAGATATATTAAGTTTTTTTCTTATCTTAGAGTATTTTGTCACTTACAGTTCGTAAAAGAAAATTGGCCCTCGTTTCATTGGCATTTAACTTAAATTTTGAAGAAGTATTTTGCCCCAGCTATCCAAAGGTCTTTGCACACCACGGTCTTAAAAAAAATCTTTAAACAGATTTGACAAAGTAAAGTGTATTTGAGTTGTTTAATTGTATGGCTTATATTTGGTTAATATTTGTTTTAAGTATTTTTGATTTGATTTTTGGCTGAAACTAAATTACATTTTTTGCATAAATTCTTTAGTTCATTTATTTATCTATGATAATTATTATTTCATTTTATAATTTATTTATTTTTAAATTAGGTAATCATACTTTATCAGGGGCCTGTATTGAAACACAAGCTTTGGATGAGTTATTGCCAAACTGGAAAGAAGATGAAAGTGTTAGTTAAAGTTAATTTTCCTTTACAAAATTGGTATAATGTATGATGTTATAGTTTGTAATTTTACACTCTTTTATAGATCCCAACTTGATGGGATATATTTAAGACTTAAACTGGCATACAAGAGGTTATTTTAAAGAGGGAATTAACCAATGTATATTTCATACACTTCTGTGTGGCAAAGAGCTCTTAAATTTCACAAAAATTTATATATTTATGCTCCTAGTGTCAATACATTGTTTTAATATTTCTAAAAGTTAAAAAAACTTTTTTGAAACTTTTACCACTCTTTAAATTCTTTAAACTATAGACATGCTTATAGTCTTAAAAAGAGTAATTGCAGTATTTCATGCAGAATGCAGTTATTACCTAAATTGGTACATTATACCTTATTTTTCTTACTGTCAAAATAAGAACATAATTAAAACATAGTTATCTTGAATTTTTCAGGGTTTCAAGAGAACTCCAGTTACCTCAGATAAATTTGCTTTCCTCACAAAAACAAACAGGATATCTATTCCAATATTTAAAGGTAAATTAAAGTCTTTGACTTGAATCATACTATGATGTCATACTATTCATTTTAAATTATTTTTGTCTTCTTGCAAGATCAGGCTAGTTTTTTGCATCAAGTATGAGACTTAAAAACAGTTCTCTCTTTGTTTTTTTAAAGGTTTACCAATGTATAACCATGGAAATTACATTGTAAGGTTAGGAAATGTAGTGCAATGGCTTGCACAAAAAGCAGAAGAGCATGAAGTAGATGTTTATCCTGGTTTTGCTGCTAGTGAAGTAAGTTTTACTTCTTGTACGATCATTAATTTTTAATATGTCTTAATCTTAACTGATAGACTTCTAAAATAGCACTAATAATACAATCATTTTGATAACAATAGATGGTAAGACTAATTCATTACAAACTGCATTTTTATACTTGAACCAATTTTTTTGCAATGTTCTTTATTTATTTTTATGCAACATGTCTGACCATAAAAGGAACTGAAAAATTATTTTTAGATGTTTTGAAATTAGGTATGATTTGTTTAGTACAATAGATATATTTTACAATATGTATATATATATTAACATGCTAAGCATATCAACAGTTCAATTTATTGTAAAATTTATTTTATTGTTTTGCTGTTATATGAAATTAATGATTTTAGAAATAATTAACATTTTCTGAATACCATATACACATATCCCTTTGAATTTCATATTGTATGATCTAATTATTTAATACTAAGAATTTAAAATGTGTTAATCATTTACAATCAGGTTGTAATGTTGGTCACATCACATTTTAGCCAACCATTTCTGTTTCACCAACTTAACTGAGTGTTATTGCTTTTTTTTAAATTTTTTTTTTTACCCTTGGTGGCATTGGTACCCTCTTATTTTTGAATATTGAGTAATACCCACATAGTACAGGTTAGAATTTAAATTGTATTCATCCTTTTGAGAATGAATGCAACTACCAGCTAAAATATTTATTCTAGATATTATATTTTTGATTATGATAAATTATAGCTATTGTTTACTTAATAGTTAAACCAAAACCGTTGCAATAAACAAATTGTGCTAATGCATTAGTTTTCTCTCTCTCTTTTAGATATTTAAAATTAGTGTAACTAATTTTTTAAACTCCACTAAAATCAGTAATCCTCTTTATTCTTAATATTAATTGTTTTTTTAATTCATTTCTGGTAAACATTTGATGCCACATCACTATTTATTTATCTTCTTTTTAGATCTTATATCATGAAGATGGAAGTGTTAAAGGTATTGCAACAAATGATGCTGGTATAGCAAAAGATGGTTCTCCCAAGGTAAAATGTTTCTTAAATACTTAATATGTAATCTTTGTTGAATTAAATATATTATCCTCATTCAAGAATATTTGGAATGTTGTAAAATTTAAATATAATTTCTGAAAAGTATTTGATTCTTATTACTCTACTTTATAATTCTTTTTAATTTTGAGAATGTTCAAAACAATTAATTTTATATTTTATGTTTGCACATTTTCATTTTTAAAAAAAATAGGAGATTGAATCATTATAAAAACCAATTTAAAAGACTTATTATTTAGCAAAAAAAAATTTGTAAAAATTTTAAGTAAAATATATCTTGATAATTTTTTTTTTTTTTACTAAAAGGTTATGTATTTTCTTTGCTGTTACAAGTTCCTTAAAATTACCATGTAGTTGTTTTATTTTTTGTGCAAAATATATTTTATTTACATAAAATTTTATTTTATCTTATATTATGCTTAATGAATTCTTTGTGATGTCCTACTTAATGATTACTTTTTAAAAACCATTACAATTTTCTCATTTCTTAAATTCCATACTAATATGTTCTGATTTTCAGCTTAAGTTATTTAATTATTGGCTGAAAATGTACTTATATGAAATTGTCTTAGTTTTCATTTATGTAACTAAATACGAAAATTTTACTAATAAAAAAATAATATACAGAATTTTTACTAATGAACATGCAGACCATGAATGATTCATGAAATAATACTTGTAGTTATATTCAAAGTTTTAGCCAAGCAACTGGAAATATACATTAAATGGCACACTTTATCAATCAAACCAGATATAGGTACCCCAAACCCATCCTGCTGCCCCAAAAATCTGGTAAAAATTTCTCAATTAAACCAGTAAATCTCAAATCCATCCTGCTGCCTCAAAAATCTAGTAAAAACTACTCAATTAGACCAGATATATCTCACACCCATTCTGATGCCCATGCTTTGTCTTGTAAAAATTTTGATCATCTCCTGCTTTAGTATTTGTCATAAATCAGCTGTATGTAAAAATATAGTAAAAATTTAGTGATATAAAATGATTTTTTTGTTTATTGTCCTTATGTATTATATTTAATTTGCAACCTCATCTACAGGATACAGAGTGCATTTATGAACCCATGTTTCTGTGTTACTTTTGATGTGCTTGTTTTGCTCTTTTATTTTGCCCATGATTTTTTTTAAAACCACATTGTATAATAGGCAAATGGTACTCCTTCCACTTATTCAAGTGGCTTTTATTCCATTATCTATATTTATGGTTACCTTTATTTAGTTTAAGCTCATTAATATTCAAGAGTTTTGCTTTGATACAATGCACACTTTGTCATTGTTTAGTTTAGTTGCCATTGATTTCACTTCATGTGATGTTGGGAAATTCGCTTTTCCACTCTGATCATTTGAATATTAATGTTCAAGTGATTTGCTCACCAAATTTACCTCAATTCTACAATTAAGTGTTTATATCTATATTGTAACAAAATATTACCTTCCTCATCTCTTCTTTAGAAAATTTTTGATGACTGTGTTTCTCACTCTCATAGCTAAAAAAAACTATTAGATTTTACACATTTCTGGATAATTTTTAAAAACTATCTGATATCAAAATGTTATTGATGCAGTTATTACTTGAGTTATTTTATGTCAAAGCTTTAAGATTTCTTTTTTGAGTCGCATAATTCAGTTAAGCAAAAACTAGATATTAGCACAATTATTTTTTTTCCCACCTATTTTTACCTCTGTAAATGAGTAACTCACTTTGTTTAAATTTTGAAATAGTTTTTATTAAATAGTTTATATTGATATTTTTCAGATATTTTCAATGTAAATGAAGAACTATTAGTTATAAAATTATAATATTCTGCAAACATTTTCTCTTGTAAATGAAGTTAGAAAACGCGTGCCCTTTTTTGAAATTTTGATGCTATCTAATATAAAAGAGATAAATGCTTATTTTTTCTATCCTTTGGACAGAAATAAACTAAATGTTCTCCTTAACATAAAAAAATTGGGATTGTTTCAATTAAGGTTACTTGATGTTAATGTAAACTAATATTCAGAATTCTTCCATTCATTCTGTGCCTTCTCACTCATGTGACATGTAGGACACCAGACTATATTTTTTCCTCCTCTTTTCAATGCTTTTATTTATTTACAAGGAATTACTTTTCAGTTTAAAACTTTATAATTTCAATGTTTAAACATGTGTGTGTTTAAAATTTTGTTTTCTTTTAGTTTCTTTTTTGTTTCTTTTAGTTAAAATTATTAGAGTACTTTTGTAGGCTCTTTTAAATTTTTTGATTTAAATCTTAATTTTTTATTCTTAACTTTTGCAATCTTTTTAATTTTCTAAGTTGTGTTTAGTAATTTAAAGTTATTTAATGCTAAGGAAAGTTGAAATAATGAAAAAAAAATGGAAATAACACTTTTTTAATTTGAATTTTTTGCTTTGTTATTTAACCACATACGTGTAATTAAAAAAAAAAAAATTGCATTTTTTAGCAATTGTATGTTGTTTTAAATTTAATTTTAGGGGAGATGAGCAAGTAAAGTGACCTGAAAATAACTACACCAGCAATTTTAAGGACTGCCAAGAGGTAGTAAGAAGGGGGGCCTGGACCTAAGCATAATTTAAATAAGAGAAACTTGGTTTTTAAGTTATTTTATGACAAAATTGAAGATTTTTTATTTCACCTCGTATTTAGTTTAGAAAAAACTATTAGCAGAGGAATTTTTTTTTATAGCTACAATGGTTATTCTGTTTAAACTTCTAATTTATTTGAATTTATTGAATTGTAAAGTTGTATTTTCTAACGAACGAATCTCAATGCACTACAACATTATGATTTGTTTACCGCTTATTCATTTATTTTTCTATTAAATCGCTGGATAAGTGAAAAGCGCAGGGGAAGCAATCGAAAAAGATCTGAGCAAGCAGTTCCGCTGATTTGTGGATGGTGAAAAGCAAAGAGTGTACCATTTACCCATGGTACTGTTTCATTTTACTGTCATACTGTGATCAAAAATATGCATATTTTTTTAAAAGCAATTTTGTATTCATATTGCTTATATAAGTTAAATTCAGCAATCAAAACTGTTATTAGTTTTGCATTTATTTATTTATGATAATTTTTAATGGTGAAAATAAGACATTTTTACTTAATGTTGGCTTTTTTCTGAAAAATGAAATAGAATTTGAACGAACACTTTACAGCGATAAATGGAAGAAAGAAAATGCATATTTTCTTCAATACTTATGTTTTTATTTCTTTTCAAAATTCAGCTTTAGTTTGGTTTGTTTTAAAACATTGAGATATTAGAATTATACTTAGCTATGAGCCACTTATTACCACCCATTCTTCTTTTATTTCATGGCAAATTTTGTAAGAAATAATATTCGCAAACAGTAATACACCAATCAAGTGAAAACAAACTCTTGAATTCCCCAACTAATTGAAAAACGCCAAGGTAAAACCTTTCAATGAAATAGTTTTATAATCCAATCTTTCCTAGATTACTAGAAGCATCTTTTAAGAACACTGCAAAGTAAAAGCATGAAAAAGCTTACCGAATCAGTACATTGTTGTAAGAAATCACACTGCTAAAGCGGTGTACAAGCAAATAAAAAATTCCCCTTTGCGACACACGAGTAATGTTTGGGCATAATGACTCTTGATTATATAATAAGTAGTTAATGTAATCAAAATAAACTATAAAAGATGGGAATTTAACAAGACTTGAGAAAAAAAGGGAGTTAAGGGAACTGCTTTAGCAGTTTTAATAAGGTACAAAAAGTGAGCCCCCTGGTTCTTGAAAAAGAGCTTATTTTAGTACTTTTAAAAACTTATATTTTTTTTAATGATTGACTCACCTAATAGAATTCAACATTTTGTTTATTTCTCTTAGGAGTCCTTTACCAGAGGTATGGAATTTCATTCGAAATGTACTATTTTTGCAGAAGGTTGCCATGGTCATTTGGCAAAGCAGCTTTATAAAAAATTTGGTTTAAGAGATAACTGTGAACCTCAAACTTATGGTATAGGCTTAAAAGAATTGTGGGAAGTTGAACCTGCGAAACACAAACCTGGGACAATTGAGCACACAGTTGGATGGCCTCTGGTAATTTAAATTATATTATTTTGAAAAATAACTTCATTACTATTTACTTCTACATGGCAATAGTAGAAGAAGCAAAATAATTTTTTTTTTAAATTTTGCTTTAATTGATCATATATTTTGGTTCATTTTTTTCAAATAATCTTTATGCTTTTTTCAGTTATAGAAATTTTATAAATTTTGGACTGAAGCAGTTTATGAATCAAAACTTGCCTTTGATGTCTTCTCTTTAATCTCTGTTTTTATTTTTAAAAAATTTAATGATTCAAAATTATACTGTGTACTATTGTTTTTCAGATTGATTCATTTTAAACTATTGTGTAATAATTCTAAATATCATGCATGTGGGATAATTTAGAGAAAAGCTTAATGTATTTGGAACTGAAATAATCATTCATATTTTCTTTTTCTTAATCTATTATGACTGACATATATTAAAATTTTCTATAAATTTAATTATTAATCTTAAAATTTTTCCTTATGTTTTCTTTACTTATGTACTTGTACCTGAAATTATTGAAAACATTTATTCATCTGTATTAACTCTAAATGATTGTTTTTCTTAAATTAAAATGTATTTTTTTCTAATTTGCGAAATTATTTAAAATTTCCTATCTCTCTCTCTATATATATATATATATAATTTTGTAATATTTATGTTGCTCTAATCTTTCGTCATAAATTCAAATGTAAAACTAATATTTTGACTGTTCACTCACTGTCATAATTTTTAAGGAAATTATTTCTGTAATTAATAACTTGATCTTTCAGGATCGCCATACATATGGGGGATCTTTCTTATACCATTTGGATGATGATGCTCCTTTAGTGTCTGTAGGTTTTGTAATTGGTCTGGATTATCAAAATCCATATTTAAATCCTTTCAGAGAATTCCAAAGATTTAAACTCCATCCTTCCGTTAAACCTTTATTTGAAGGCGGTAAACGGATTGCTTATGGTGCTAGAGCTTTAAATGAAGGAGGTGTTCAAGTGAGTATATTTATTTAATTAATTATTATTTAATAAAATTTCAAGTATATGTTTGTATTTTATTAAATATTTAGATTCAAATATTTACTTACCTGAAATGTCGGAATTGGGTAAAGAAATTTAAAAGAAAAATGTTTATTCATTGAAGAGTCTAGAGTATAATCTTGTGATTGATTATTCATTAATTTTCAAGATAATTCATAAGGTTATAGATATTTTTTATAAAAAAAAAGCTTCTAATGCCATAAATACCTTTGTATTGTATGTATCTTCTAAATTGTATAAATTTTTCTTCCTTAATTTTTTTTTTAAATATAGAGCTCCTTTTTTTTCCTTCAACAAAAAATTTCTTTTTTCATAAAGGATTTTCTTTTAAAATGACTTTTTTTAAATATTTTTTGAAAAGTTTCTGCTTAAAATATTACTAGTTTTTCTTCCAAGTAATAATAGTAATTGCAGATACTGAAATTAATGTGTTTCAAGCAATAAAATAAAAAATCATAAATATTATATATTTAGAATGAAAGATTAACTCATTGTAAAACAAATTCTAATGTTGTTAGTTAATCCTGAAGAAAGTAAAATTTCAATTGCTGCAAAAGATAGTAATAAAAGTCAACAGCTTTTGGTGCTCGAAACATGCCTTCATTCGTCTATCTTTCCATCCCATATTACCTTCATAATTTTTAAAACTAAAGAAGTTTTTATATCATCATGTATATTTTTCCTCTTATATTTCTTGGAATTTATTCATACTATAACTTTTATTAATGTTTGCATAATTTATTAATAAATCAGGAATAATTTCTGATTCTCGTAAAATTTTTGTGTGACTATTAAATATTTTATATTTCTAAAGAAAGAAAACAGCATTTTTTTGTAATCTGAAATTAAGAATTTTTAATGAAATGTTCAAGTATAGTTTTATTAACTTGTTTGTTTATTCTCACTCATTTTTTTTCCTAGTTCATGTGAGTTCTAAAATAATGATAAATTAATATAGTGAACTATTTTCCTTAAGTCTATAAACTATAGTTATTGGTGGTGAATTTTTTAATTAGTATACTTTTTTTGTTCTAAAATACAATTTTCTTTTCACAAATAAGCTCATAAAATATGTTTATTTTTAGAGTATACCGAAACTAACATTTCCTGGAGGATGTTTAATTGGTTGCAGTCCTGGTTTCATGAATGTTCCTAAAATTAAAGGCACTCACAATGCTATGAAAAGTGCCATGATTGCTGCTGAAACTGTCTTTGATCTTGTTACTGCAGAGGAGACTAAGTCTAACACTATTGGTACTATAAAACTTACATTAGATTTTAATCATTAAATTTGATTTGTTATTTTCAATAGGTGGTATTCTACTTAATTCTTTTAAGTTATAAATTTTGAATTTCATTCTATTGTTCAGAAAGTAATGTCATTGATATTATAGTGAAGCTTTTATGCATGGTTGCTGAATTATCTCAAACGATTTCGTGAGTAAGGGCAGGATGCTCTTTTTCTTTTTTTTTTTGCCTCTTGTGCAAGTTGCTATGCAATACTCAATGAATTGCTATTAAATTTTGTATGTTTTCTAGTTTACAATGGAAGCTTTTTCTGCAATAAAATAAGCCTTAGGTGATGATTGTTTGTCGGAATTCCAACCCTACCAGTGGCACAAGGCATTTTTTAAAAGTTGTGTAAGGGAATGATGAAATTCATGTTGGGAGACTAACAACTACCACTGATAAAAATTTGAAGGTCACAATTTAATTCTTGAACTTTAACCATCACTTGAGTGTTCATTCGATGGCACAGACGTTAAATATATTACAAGTATCCTCTTTTGGAAGTTAGTAAAATCTAAAACAACCAGAGCCAGAACCAATTTTTAGAAAATGAAAAATAGCATGACCCTTTTTTTACTTAGATAAAGATGATTTAATTTCTTATTATCTATAAATTCATTAAGTGTTCAAAATTTATCATATATCCCGGTGTATACGTTGACCATGTACTCTTAATTACGAGATAGCACATTTCTGGCATACGGTGTGTGTAAGTCAACCGCTCATAGATCCAAATATAAAAATTTCTAAAATTGTGTAAAAGAAATTTTTAAGTTTACAAAATTTTTAGAAAAGTGTGAAATTTTCAATTATTTGAACAGAAGTAAGATTTATTTTTATAAGGTAAGGGTGAAGTAAAATCCATTGAAGTAGAATTATATATTTTAAAATATTCTTGAATAAAAATGCAAAAGCTAATTGTATCTAACATATTAGGGTAAATTAATTTAGAAATGTTCATATCTATCTCATTTCACAATCAACAAATATCCGGCTTTATTACCGGTGTATAATTTTGGAGGTTTGAAAAGTAGACTCATATACCAGGATAGATGGTGGTATTCTGCTAATAGTTCTACTAAGTCTTTAAAGGACTTTTTTGTTTTAAGTGATATAAGATTATACGATAAATAATGCTTTCATATACTGTGACATAATCTCCAATTTTTAAAACACATGTTATTTTTAAACAAACATGGTGTACTACTGAGATTTTTGTGTACATTGTTAACACTAACTTATTGAATATGTGTGACAAATTTTTCATGCTTTTTGAAACTTTTTGTGGGAACGGATTATAAAAAACCCATTACTATTTTTGACAAGGAATGGAATACATCCGAAAAATTAAAAAATAAAGCACACTCCACACTTTGCTTTTCCTTCTTCGTAACTTAACCATAGCATGAAATCAATCCACAGTTGCAGAAACTTGAGTTAGGTTTGCTCTAACATCTCTTTTTTGTGTTAAAACAAATTTTTCGTTATAAATCAAAACAAACACATCAAAGTACACATCTTAGTGTAATCGTTATCCAAATTAATATAATTTTTTTTATTCAGGATTTCAAGTCTAAAAGAACACTTTAAAAGATATTAAAATAATGGACACAACTATTACTATTAGCCACCATGGCAATCAGTATTTTTCAACCCTTAATAATAACCATACCATTTTCTGTTAATGTTAAAGTTAGAAATCTATAGTAAACCAAGGCTGAACTTGACTGTAACTGATTGTACATAGGATTGCACATATCTTGATATCGGGGAACATTGCTTGTGGATCGTGGCTTGCACCAACCACTGTGGTATGGTCCACAAAACCCTAGAGTTCTGCAGAACACCATTTAGGAACCAATGGTCTAAGCAGCTTTCTATGTAACTGTTAAGTTACTGACCTAGTTCAGCCTTGAATTAACAAATGTTATACTTGTTAAAATGTGAAAAATAAAAACTTCATACTTGTTCTTAAAGCTCCAGAACCGGTGGAATATGAGAAAAAATTGAAGGAAAGCTCTATATGGAAAGAACTACATTCTGTGCGAAATATCCGTCCATCGTTTCACTCATTTTTAGGATTTTATGGTACTATGTTATACACTGGAGTTTTCTACCTATTTGGACGAGGAAAAGAACCATGGACATTGTCTCATCATGGTATAAACATACTTTTCAGATTTTAAATATAAATTTAGTTGTACTCCTTTACTATGAATCATATTTTGATTTAAGATATTGCTATTTTTATAAACTTAAAAATCATTTAAGATAAATTATTTGGTAACTAAAAAAACATTTTATAAATAAGGGTAAAAAAAATACAATGAATTTAAATAAAACTTAATTCTGCTTATCATGCAATACTGTATGAAATATTTTCTTACAAATTATAAATCAATATAATGCACATATTTTACTTGCTTGAATAATGTAGTTTCGCCCGGACATTATATTTATGAAATTTGTCTATTTTTAATATGGAAAAAAGTCGTGATAAGACTCAAATTTTTTTTTTTAAGTTCGTCTTGTATCATAGTCTAAACATTGGTCCATAAGTGTATGACACTTTAAACACCAGATATTGCACCGATCACCTTTTTTGTTTTTTAATCCAACATAGTTTAAGTTGTTACTTTATAATTTTTCAAGAATTATGCATTATTATGTGATTTTGTTTTTTGACGCTTTCCATTTGTTCGATAAGGCTTCTTTTGACGCTTATGGAGAATTGGAGACGCAATTTCAGAAACTCAGCTTGAGGGATGAAGAAAAAAATTGATTTATTAGTTACACTGATAATGCAAGATAAGCATTTTCAATTGTTTTTTATTTCCTACAAAATAACAAGTGTATATTTTTTTTAATATGTACTATTAAAATATAATATGATAAAATTACTTTGCATCATATGTGTGATGTGAAATCTTATTGGAAAACGAGAAATCAGTGCTAATATTCAAAGTTTTATAGAGAAACCCGACAATTTTAACAATTTTTTTTTAAAAATCTAACTAAAAAATAATCTTGTTCAATCAAGTAAATACATGAATGAAAATAAGATTAAACTATTTGAAACAAGAATGTAAAGTAATATAATTTAAAATGTGCTTCAAATGAAAAATTATATTACTAGAGATTAAAATAAAATTGAACAAATCCAATGAAGCCTCTTATATAATATACATATATCCAATAAACAGATAGTGTAAGCTTTTGTATAATTCGATTATATTGTGGTTAGGGTCCTATTTATTAAATAACAGAATTCAAATATGTCTGCTTATTTAATTCATTCTTAACCACTGTTAGTTTTTTTTTAATTTGTTGTTGTAATTACTCAACAAACAGATGAAGAAAAAAATCTAAACATTGCTTATCCATTCATTTGTAGAGTATTAAAATTATAAAACAAACCAATAATTAATAATCTTATCATAAAACTGCATTGCTCATCTAAAAATATTGTGTGACTGATATCCTTAAATGATAGAATTAGTAAATGTAATTATGTAACTTTAACAGTTATATTTAGTCAAGTTTTAAAACCGTTACAGGTGCTGATCATGGAAAACTAAAACCTGCAGCTGAATGTCAGCCTATTGAGTATCCCAAGCCTGATAATGTTGTTACATTTGATCTACTTTCATCAGTTGCTTTGACAGGCACTAATCATGAAGATCAACCTGCACACTTAACTCTAAAAGATGATTCAATTCCTGTTGAAAGGAATTTAAAATTATTCGATGGTCCAGAACAACGATTTTGTCCTGCAGGTACATTTTTTACTTGATTCTTTGAATCAGCAGTCCCAATTTCATTTCGCTACGGAACCCAAAGTAATTGAACTTCTTTTGGCGGAATCCCAAATTTTAAAAAAACTTTCAATTTGGTAGGTGTAAATATACTAACAGGAAAAAAACGATAAATTTACTTAGAAATATATTTAATGTCAATCAAATTATTTTTATCAGAGAAAAACAATTCTTATTCATGAATTTTTTATTTTATTTTGTTGAAATACTGTTNTAATCATTTTTAAATTCTTTTTTTTTTTTTTTTGGAAATTTATTAAGTATATTCTTATTGGAAAAAACATTTTTAAAAAATATATTTTTTATTGTAATTTTACACAATTAATTTTAAAAAATAACCTTAATATTAAATAAATTATAGATTATTGGTTGGATACAAATGTATTACAGGTTTAAAAAATGATTTCTGGTTTAAAAAAAGGAAAAGTCCCAATTCACGGAAACCTAGGAATCCACGGAATACCATTTGGGAACCCTTGTTTTAAATTAAGATTTGATGCCATATTGTGGGCAATTTTACTTATGGTTAAAGAACTAATTTATTATCATTTAAACTTAGTTCAAGTGTAAGCTTGAAATATATGCAAAAGATGTTTGGTTCAGTAGTTTTATTTATAGATTATATGTAACCTAACTACCCAGAAAGCTCAGTATGTATTTCAGTTTTCCAAATTATTGAAAAATTATAAATTTAGATTGATGTTTTTATTTTTACTGAAATAGAAATACTTGAAGTATAATGGGTATTTTCAATACTATGGCTGTACAATACACAGTTTGTGGGCTTTACATCAAAACATTTAATTTTATACAAAAAGTTAAATCATTTTCATCAAAATGTATTGTAAAACATTAGACAATAGGTAGTTAGGACAAATAATGTAACATTTTATTTTAATTGCTAATTAAACATTAAAAAGAAAAACAACTATTTTTAATTTATTTTTATGAAATCAAAGTTTATAGAAAATGTTTGCTCAAACTTTGTTTGTTACTTTTACAATAAGATTGGACTGTAATAGTTTCTGAAAGCACACATGTAAGAGTAATTTTTTTTAAAAATTTTAATATACCAGTTTTCATAAAATGTTACTTTTACAAAAGTTCAATAAAAAACTGGAGTTGATTAATTAACTAACATATTTTCAAGGTGAGATAACTCCCTACTCTTAAAGATTAGTTTCACATCTAAAATAATTATAATTTTTTAATTCTGTATAATGCCTACCCAGAAAAATGGCCTATATATGAAAAAATGCCTATATAAAAAAGTGGTAATACATATTTGCTCATACTCGGTGGCTATTTCTTTCTGTTATTTACCACTTTGGCTTTAAAAAAGGTCTATGCAAAGATTTTAAATACATAAACTAATCCTTAACTAATGTGTGATGATTTTTGCTGTTTTTGTTTTTTCTTTTTAGAAAAAATTAACTGTTCTCTGTGGCATAATTTTTTCGAGCTTTCTGCAACAATTCTCTCTAATACAAATACCTGATATTATAATTCTGAGACATTCATATATATATATTTGTTACTTATTTAAAGTAACAGAAGCACATTCTGTTTACAAGAAAACCCTTACATATAGAACAGAACAGTATATATATGTTTCTTTATTTATAAATGTAAGAATTTTTTTTTTAAATCTTAAATATAAAAGAATACATATTCTAATATTATTAGTGATATTCTCCTGTTCTAAAAAATATTTGTATAGTTAACCTTTTTTAAATTTTTGCTATTTGTAAATTACTTTAAAATCAATATGAAATTCTAGCTAAAACCATTCTTTTATTTTCAAAAGAAAGTTGGAAAACAAAAATNAATCGGAGTTTTTGATAAAAAGGCTGAAATTCGAGAGACAAAAAAAATCTCATCCCTGTATAAAGGTCAACCAGTTTTCTCCCAAGGAAATGATTTTTAGAGAAACTTCAGAGGAAGGAAAAGGAACTTCAATAATTTCCCTCCGCGGAAAATTAAATTCCTCATAAAATATTTTAACTTGTGCAAAAAAAAATTTCAGCGGAAATTAGCGGAAAAAATGGAAAAATCTGAAAAAAAGCGGAAATCCGCGGAAGAATCTCATCCCTGATTATTAGTCATATTCTCCTGTTCTAAAAAATATTTGTATAGTTAACCATTTTTAAATTTTTGCTATTTGGAAATTACTTTAAAATCAATAGGAAATTCTAGCTAAAACCATTCTTTTATTTTCAAAAGAAAGTTGGAAAACAAAAATCACAAGCTTTTTTTTCCCAAACTCAGATATGTGAGAAAGATATTTTTTGAACATAATTCTGCGGAAAGAAGAAAAAAAGTTCTGCAGAAAAAAAATATTTCTAAAAATTTTGCAGATAAAAAAAACCCCAAATTTCTTTGTTTCTTCAATAAAATCTTTCTGCAGGAACTCTGTAATGTTATGTAATGATGGCGCCGTGTCACCACGATTTTGCTATGAGGAAACCGTTCCTTTATAAAAACATTAAGTACTAATAGATTAAGATAAAATACCTTTTATTTCTCTCCTTTAGGATAATCAAACTATTTCTTTCAACTAGTAAAACTCAAAACATTCTATATTGTTACGTATGATTTTCTCGTAATAAAATTTTTTTTCCAGGTGTCTACGAGTATGTGCCATTAGAGGAAGGAGATGGACAACGTCTACAAATAAATGCGCAAAACTGTATACATTGCAAAACTTGTGACATTAAAGATCCAAGTCAAAATATTAATTGGGTGACACCAGAGGGTGGTGGTGGCCCTGCTTATAATGGAATGTAAAACTCAGCTGTTTTGTTTTATACACAATTTCACAGCCATAAAGAATGGATATTTTTTATCATAAAAGCACTTATTTACAAAGTTTAATGTTAAAACATCTATATAGATTATTTAATAACACATTTTATGAAGAAAAAGTGCTCTCTGCATCTTCTTGTTATATTAAATTTAATCATATGAAAATTTAGATTCTGGGTCTTTGTGTGTTGTGTTAGCAAAATATTTTTACTGAATATTTTTATTTATTTAAATATTTATATCTTTAATATAAGAAAAGAGTTCATAATAAAGTATTTTTATATTTTGAGTGAATTGCATTTTATAATCAAGTATTAAACCCATATCCTAAAAATGACTGCTAATTTGAATAGATCAATTTATGAAAAACAACAAATAGTTGATAGAAATGTTTGTTTTGCTGTATTCTACTAGGAAACCAGAGAACTTATTTCAACAAAGTTCCTCAGCATATGATGTGGAGTAGAAAAATTATAAAACAATATTTTTTGCTGTCTGTTAGATTATTCCAAATGTATTGACATATATTAATTTTATTCATAGACTAAACCTTGCTGTTGCTGTAATTATAGATTATTCGGAAAACATTGATTTAAAAATTTTAATCAATTATCAAAGCTATCTGTTGATGAACTTTGTATAAATTAACTAATTTTGAAACTCTCTGGTTTCCCAAGCAAATTTCAAATTTTCATGTTCTTCTGTTTTCTTTAATAGATTTATTTTTCAAATCCATTAAAGAAAGATTTTGAGACAGCTAATATAAATGCATTATCATATATTAAGATAAAAAAGAGAGGAAAAAAACATAAATGAATAGTAAAATTTTTATTTACATATAAGGCACATGTATAATTTTAACTAGCGGAACCCTTTAAGCATTACAACTCTGGGCAAATATGCTTATCTTTCTCCTTTATATACAGAGTTTCATTGAATATCATGAGTGAAAAATAATTGCATACTTAAGGTAAGAAAAAAGCCAGCACTGACGTTCAGAAGGTTCATATAAGTGTACAAATTCCTATTTAACTTCTATATTCAGATGTACATGCAATTTATCATTTATACATTCTTACAATGATTAAATTATAAAAAATAAGCAATTTTAATTCATCACACTTCACAATAAAATACATTTAGTTATTATTTATAACAAAAGTAAATTTACAGTCTTTTTTTCTTAAACTAGAGTTCAAATTATTATTTATCACAAACAAAATTTGTCTACTAAATATGCAAAAAAAATTTAAAACTTAAAAAAATTATATTGATGTTTATAAAAAAAAAGTTCTAAATACATCAAAGGCATTTTGTGCATACGTTATATAATTTAATAAATAGGCAGAGATTACTGAAGAAATAATACGTTCAACACCCTAAAATAAAATTCTTTTGCAGTTGAACATCTAGATTAATGCCAAAAAATGATATGTTAATTTATTATTTGAAATAAGCTCACAATTTATAAAACAAATATCGGCATACTTCAGAGATAAAAATTATTAAATATACACGAGTGTTTTAACTACAACAAAATATGCACAAGTTAGATCCTGGCAACTAACTAAGCTTGATAAAAAGGCGTATATATAGCAAGGTGCACCTGAAATATGTCGTAGCTGAATATCCTCTCATTAATTGTGGTATGGAAGTTAGGAGACACCTATTGAGGGGTACCATCTCAGGTGCTATCCATGTCTCTGACCAGGGTTAAAATTATGTGGCTGTTAAAGGATAGAGCAAAAAAAAAGAGGCTGGGTGCTTAGCCATAGTTGGGAGAAGTGCAACAAAATATGTATGTGGTAACTATAATATATCATGAAATGTTAAGAACTCATCACAAGAAAATACTTAAACACAGATTTGCAGAATATTTATTTAAGAATTTAGAGAAACAAATTAGTGACTCATTTTAATTAAAAAAGTAAAATGTGTTTAAAAACCTATTAACCTTCGAAGCGTAGCACCATTGGGGAAAATATGAAAATTTTCCACTTACGCATTAAACAAGTTTTTTGATGTGGGTAAGCCACAAGCTCAAGAAATGAAAGCCATTATTAACACTCAGAAGAGTAAAACAAAATGGAAGCCATTAAATTTTAACTTTTGTTGAGGGATTTTCTGTTTCGCTTGATTCTTAGTCTTTCAAAAAAAGAAATCTGATTTTACTAATTAAAAATATATTTATGTCTTTATTTCAGTGTTTCGTAACTATTTTACTAGCAATAGGACTATAAACGTTAGTTCATGACCACAATGTACTATAAATAAGTTCTTTTGAATTGGGATTCTTGTGAGTAAAAATTAATTTCCAGAAGATATAGTTAAAAAAAGTATGCTGACCAAAATGTGCTTACATATAATATATACCCAATCAAAAGATTCAAGAAAATGGAAACATTTAGTTAAAAATGTTTAATATATTAAGTAGTGCAAAGTGCTAACCTATATCCCTTCATATTGCAAGCATTTGTTCATTATTTCAAAGTGCAATGAACCAAAAAAGCTCTAAAGTGTAAATAAAATTAAGTGCTGATCCCATCCAAGAACCAAAGCAAAAAGATAATTACAGCTTACAAATAAGAAATTCATATTAAAATAAATAACTATTAAAGCATTGTTTACAAAATATAATTCATTACATTTTAATATTCCAAGAGAAACCTAGGAATCTAATACCATAATACTGATAGAGTCTCTAAAGCTCATTTTCTTATTTTAGGAACTTAGAAAATATAAAATGGTTATACAACTTATTAATTAAAAAAGAAAATGTTGGTTTAACCAAAAACTTTATTTGATGAGAATTTTTTTTTTTACTAAACAGTTGAAAATTAATTAAATGTATAATATTCTGTTTTCAAGTGTGTGAAATTAAATCTATTATTCCTAAAAATGTGGCATTAATTAGTCATTTGTAAATTAAAACCACTTAAGTAAAATTATTTAGATCATTTAATTAATTACACATATATATATATATATATAATTAATGTTCTAAACATAGAATAAGTGTTTAAATTTGTAAGCTGTTTTTATTAAAAAAAGAAAAGAGTAATAAAATAGCCTTTTTATCAATACACAATAGAGGGGAAAAAAGAAAGTAAATTTCCAAAAATGCACATTATTGATGACTAGAAGTAAAAGAAATCTCAATATAACATAAAAAAAGAATAAATACAATAAAAAAAACATAATTACACCTAGTGTATCAGACATCTAAAAATAATAATAAATAAATTTTCATTTTTAAATAAATATGGGCAGAGATGATAATTGAAAACCTAAGATATGGTAAAAAATAGTTGTTTATTCTGTTATTGTAATGAATTTCATAGTATAATATAATTCCTTCCTCCCCAAAACAGAAAAAATTAATAAAAAGAATGAACATAGATAAAAATATGTTCAGAGAATCTTTTTTAATAAAATGAAAAAACAGGGAAACCAAAAATAGGGAAAATAGTGACTTCAAAATAAATACAGTGACCAATATAGCAACAAACAAATTTTTTTAAAAAAGACAAAAATTTATTTTAAACTTGCACAAAAAATTGTGACTTACACTTAACTAAATTAAAAAACTTGATATTACTAATGATTTTTTCTATTTTACAATGGTTAGTGCTATAGCCTTAGTGTACTCCTTCAACCAAACTAGTTAGGGTTTCTCTTTTGACGATAACAATTCTTTTTTGAAATTCGAAATAAAACTCTTTCCACATAAAGAAAAAAACTTAATAAATAAGAATGTTTTTATGAAATAATGAGTTTGTATTAAAAGTGACCATTTAAAGATTTTCTAACTTTATTTAATTTTTAAAAAGTGCCATTTTGTGACTTTTCTCTGACAAAAGAAACTAGAAGGGAGCTATAGAAACATATACCATTCATAATTACATTTAAAAAAAAAAAGCTGAAACACCAGGTTTTTTTTTTTAAATTGAACACAGGCTTACTGTCTTGATTGAAGACATATATAAATAAATAAAATAAATTGTTAAGAAACAAGAACAATATTTCCTAAAGATCCAGTCAGAGAAATCATCTTTCATCAATCTGATGAATTCTTTAATTACACCTAGTATACAACAACAATAGAATTAAATAACAAACGAAACTTAAGGTTACAAATTATAATTCATTAAATTTAAATATTTAAAATATAATGTAAAATATCAATATATTAATATTAATAATTAAAAAATAATAATTATGAACCAGATTTTATATATTCAATGTTTTTTTTTTACTTTTTCATTCGATTTTTAATTAGAAGCACTACAAGATACAAAATTATTTAAAATGTAACCATGAATTAGACTGAGATTTTGAATTAATCTAAGTACAAAATGTTTGCAAATTACGATTCTTAGTCTCATCTCAAAATGCGATTGGAATAAAAAAAAATGAGTAAATTTAGTCTTGCCAGTAACAATTAAAATATTATTTTATACTTAGGACTCTTAATTATTAAACAAATAAAACAACAATAGACAATGTAACATTAAAATTTAGTACAAACATAATGACATGACAGTACAACAAACAGGTATAACAGTCTTTAGAGACATAATCAATTACAAAGGCCTGCAACTAAAAGAGTGATTAGAAACCAATAGCTGATTCTGATATATGTTTATATGCTGATTTCAAGGAAAATAGAGAAAAAAATTCTATCAAAAACTGAAAATATTGATTTTTGTAAACCTTAATCCTCAGTATTACAATCTAGAGACAGAAAGAAACATTCATTTCTGTAAGTCATCACAATTGATGCCAAAAATGGAGGTATTTAGGCTAGCTTGAGCTGCGAACAAATAAAAACAATTCTTTTAAATAACATAGGCCAGGGCTCGAAAAAACTCGGAAATTTTACCCGTCCCCGAGGACGGCTTGTCCAACAATGTAAGCGTCCTCCTTTGAAACTAACCCGTGGCTTCTAAATAAATAAAAATATAATTTTCTCTTATTTATTACAAACATTTATGTAAATTGCACACTGAATTAGCAGTTACTAGGATTACATTATACAGTAATAAAAGAAATACTAAGTTACTAATAGTAACCTAGTATTTCTTTTATGACATAATTTATTTCTTTTATGAAATAATTTAAATAACTAAGGTCAAGTTATCTAGAATGTCAAGTTATCCGAGGGTACTGCGTTTTTTAAATGAATCAAATATGACGTTTGCCAGTTTCACAATCAAGCCAATGATTTGCAGAGGTTTCTGCACAGAAATCTGAAAGGGGTGTTCCTTTTAGGTAGATGTTCATAATTGCGATTAACGCTTCCTGTTTAAGTCCAGTATTTAATGTGCTTTTTTTTTTTTTCCTTTCTTCTTTCTTTGAAAGTTCATTGCTGAAAAGCCCCCTTTAACAGCTGCAGTACTCCCAGACAGAAAAAACACCAATTCTATTAACAAAAATTTAAAATGTATCACGGACATAAAGGGGAAAATGGCCGTCCGCGCGGACGTCAGATTTGAGAAATTTGTTGTCCGCGGGGAATTTTTGACCGCCGAGGACGGGCAGACGGGCTGTTTTTTGAGCCCTGACATAGGCATTTATTTTTTAAAAAAAGATTTTAGTTAAAAATTACTCTGATTTGAGTTAGTAAACTAAAATATTCCTATCTAAACAAATGTATTTTAATGCATTGTATTACACTGAATTGAATAAAAACAATCCTAAATCAATTGGTTTGTTAAAATGTTTTATGTATAAAAATTAAATTTTGTACTTTTGAAATGTCAATGTAAAAAGAACATTTTTAATGAATAAAACATTTTTTCACGTCTGAAAATTTCCATTTGGACATGTAAGATATTGTTTAGATATTAGTTAATAAGAAGTCAAATGAACTAATAGTTTAAAAAGAAATACAGGTTTTATGTATGAAAATTATAATTTTTGATTTATGCCTGTCCATGCAATAAACCCTTATAGCTTCAGAAATATATGTTCCATTGAATGATCTAATTTTTATTTAATTTGAATTAACATAAAAATATAAATGAAACGATGCCTCTATTATTTATATAAAAAAAAGTCAGATGTTTAAAAAGGTACTAAATTACACTTTTGAAGCATAAAAACGAATATCACTGCTAAGCGATTAGTCCCATTGACTTAAATTTTATCACATTAGATTTACAAAAAAATCTGCCAGAAACACGTCACTTATCTAAATAGTAATGATTAAGTTACTTCACTCCAGGATATATAAATTTCTCCACTTATTCAAGTTCAGTTTGTGAAAAATCATGTAATTGAAAGAAAAAAAAAACTGAAAACAGCTAATCAAAATAAATAAAAATCAGTTACTACATTGTAATCACTTTTTCTTAATTTAAATTTTGCAGGACTGAGATTGTTTTAAACTTCACATGAGCAACAAATTTATCACACTAGGAATTGTAAATCATTTTGGACAGAAAAACAACAATTAAAAGTGCGCCAATCAAAACAACATTAGAACAAATCAGGAAAATACCTATCAATGTCATTGAACTTTACTTCAGGGGGAGAACATAACGATTATTGCATACTTTTTTATAAAATCCCTGGTACTTTGAACATGATAAACAAATAACAGATCTCAAAATTAGCAAGAATGATAATCAAAATATTACTAGAAATTATATCACCTAATTTAAAAAAAATATTTAAGAAACAAAGTAGGCTAAGTTTGCTAGTAAATTAAATATTGAAACAAAAGAGTTAGCAAACAAAATTTTCATTACAAAAAAAACAAAAAAAAACTAATACAAATGGATTTGTTTATTAATGAAGACTATTGTTTGAAGACTATTTGTTTATTAATCACAAATGAGTTATTATACAATAATGTGAAGCTATTCCTGCCCTCGACTCTTTGAAGTAGTTTAAATTTATTTTTTATGGATCTAAAAAGATTTTTAGTTTTCAGGCAAAATATTTTTATTGTAGGCGGCTACTCAAGAGATGTTAATTTTCAAGCTACATATTTATTCACTAATATTTTTCATTTTACAAAATCTAATATATAATGCTGCATTTAGACATACTTTTTACTTAAAAAAATACATTCTATTACGTAAAAAAAAACTTCTTATCAACAACATTAATATACAAATAATATGCATTCTAGAATAATGTTGAAATTTTTTTTAGTCTATACCAGTTTTAATTCTTATAAAATATATTGGCGTTCAAAGTATTCTAAGCATTCATTCTAATGAATGAAATAAAAATTATGTTTTAAGCAAACTATCTTAAATATTTATGAACTAAATCATTACAAACTATATTAATATATATTGAATTAATCATTTGATAATATATACGAATGCTTCAGTTGCAAAATCAATTAATTTCATTTTCTAAATTATTCAAATTTAAATTCTAAAATAGTTACTTGGTTCTTAACAGCATATGTCCGAAATAAATTTTTGTTATGCTCAGTTTCGGAGATTTGTAAAAAATTATTATAGAACCTAAATTAGTACATTAGATAATAGCAGTAGTAACTAATACCACTACCAATTACGAATAATAATTAAGTGATTTTTTATACCTACTTCTCAAGATATGGAATAATACCCAATAGTAAGTATTAACATCACTGAACAAAATATTTTTTAGTCATTGAATAATAAATAATTTATGTATTCAAGTAATTATTTATATGCTTTATGAAGTAATTGGTTTTGATAAGAGCATCATAAAAATCAATATATAAGTAAAATTTTGGTTAAATACCCATTCCTACCTGGAAGACTGTATAATTAACAAATTCAAAATTGTGTACTAATAAAAAATTTTTAAATAATGAACTATACTTAGTGTTTATTACAACTCATTTTTTCAGTATATATGTGTGTGTATAGATATAAGCATTGAGATTTAAAAATTTCTTTTTATTGATCTTGTTAAGAGTTTAAAATTTGAAACTGATTAAGACATTTTAATTAAAAATTGTAAAATTATCTTAACTGACACAATGATAAAAATTTGCCATATTGTAAAACAATATAACATTATTTATATAGATTTACCATACCTATGTTAAATTGTTGCTCACAGAAAATAATACAATTTGTTAACATACAACCTAACAAAGACACATCTCTTTCTTAACAGCATATGCGTATCAAGATAACAGAGTTAAAATTTCGCATTATTTCATTGAGTAAAAAAATTGCTTACATATTCTATATCACTATATGATTGTAACAAAATACCTTGTAAACATCTTAAATAACCTAGACCTAAAAAAATAAAATTGGCACAAAACCAAATAATATAAAGAAATGCTACCAGAGCAAAAAGGAAACAAAATCCAAATACAAAAATGGAATGTAAGCAAATCTCAACAAAAATTAACAGATTAATTATTGCTTTAGAATTATCACCAGTTATCAATTGCAGTTTTGTTAAAAGTTTGGAACCTCCATTTTTGAGTTAGTATTTTATCATCACAAGGACTCATGAATATTTCTTTTCTTTCACTGTCACAGTCTAAACAGTGGTTACTCACAGGATGGAAGAGATGCATTTTAACCTACAATAAAAAGTATTAATAAATATTTGGCTTAAAAACATCTACAAATAATGATATGAGATTCAATAATTCTTAAGGTTAATACTGTGCTGCATTCCAATAGGAAGTGTTCAGTAATGGCCACCTTCAATATATATATTTTTTTAAATTCACACCTTATAGGGCACAAATTGATTAGACATGTGATTGCAAAATGAAGAAATTATCTGAAAGTTTTTTTTCTTAATGTGTAATGTTTTAAATTTTTTCTTCCTTCATCTTTTTGTACACAGAAGATAAATAAACGAAGCACTTTTATGCATAAAAGTAACATTTGCAAAATTTAAAGAGAGAAACTTATCTAATAACTTGTTTCCTTATCAACACATAAAAAGATACATATATTGCAAAAAAAAAGATATTCGTCTTCTGTTTTTGCACTTTGCAATTCGTCACAGCATAAAAAAATAAAATAAAAAAACTTGAAATTTATGGCAATAACTGAATTGTAATAAAATCAAAACACGCATCTTCAATGGTATCAAACATGCACAAAAGTAATCACTTAATTACACAATTCAAAATTTCTATGTCATTATATCATATTAAAAATTAGTTCAATCAAATAGCAGGCAAGTAAAAGAGGAGGCAAATTATTACATTGATTCAATTCTTCTCCTTTTACAAAACAGAATTTGTAACTAAATTGCTACTCTTTAAAATATAAGTTTTAAAAAAATGAGAAAAAAAGCACAATTTTTTCTAGCAAAACAATATTTTAAATGTGTACCATTTCTGAATAAATTCTTAGATTATTAATTTTATACTTTTGTGTTTGCCTTTGTAGTTCCTTAATTATAGCTGAAGTTATTCTAGAAGAGAACAATCAATAAAACAGTAACAAATCTATGAAATCATGAACAAAACTGAAAAGCATATACCTCTACAATAAATAAAACTAATATAATTCCAATTATTTATTTTTTATCATTTGTTGCCTTTCCCAGTAGCTTTACGTTATTACATCAAGCAAAACAAATTTTTGTAGTTCATCCCATCAGGATCAAGATTAATGGCACACAATTTCATTTGGCAAAATGCTATTGTAAAGGGCCAAATCCAGTTACTTAGTCAAAATTTGCCACTATCAAGGAATTTTTACCAGTACCTATTCCTTTTGTAGGGACATAAGCCTATACCTATATCCATGGTATCTGTATTAAAACTGCACAATACTGAAGGAATTTTAATAATTATTAAACGTATCAATATAATGCTTTGTACCTTTCTATTAGGTACCTCTTACATACCCTCCAACATTTAAGCTTTGTGTGAAATAAGTTTATCAGAGCAAACTAAAGAAGAACATCACACAAAACATGAAATTTTATCACACAAAAGCAAACTAAAAAAGAAATTTTAAAAACTAATATAATTTTTTGAGACCTTGATAAAGACTTTAAAGCTGACCATTTCTCTATCTGACCTTTAAGATACTGTTTAAAATATTAATAAGAAGTGGTGGAAAAAAGTTCCTTTAATTTAATTCATTAAAATATTAATACACTAATTTTGCTACCACTGTAAGAAATATTTTAGGAAACTACAGAAAATTTGTTTTAGAATTCATCATTAAAGCTGCACTAACTACCATAATAAAAGTTGCCAAAATAAATTAATCATCATTGGCATCAATATTAGCATTAAGTTTTACACCTTCCCGCTAAATGGATTAGAACCTTTTCTCCAATGACTTTGCTTTTAAGTACATAGCTTATTTTTTTAAAATTTAAATTAATATATAATACCAAAATTAATAAAGAATTAGTATAAATGATAATATGGTGAGGTTCGCAGTTTCCAGAAACAAATACGAGTAATTTTGCTAATAATTTTGATAATAGTCTAGCAATTTCTTATGTTTCTTCTAAACGAATTAGTACCACTTTCCATTAATTTTGCCTTTCAATACATAACTAAATTTTTTCTTTCAATTACAGCTGATTTAAAACTATTTAGTTTTATCGAAACAAGTTTCAGATTATTAATTTGGTGACATAGTCCAACCACATTAAATTCGTAACAACCACATAACATTTTCTCATTAAATTCCTCTGACATACCGAATAAAAAATAATTATGTATTGAAGTAAGAGAAATAAACTCTTTTTTGACCAAATAAAGTAATAAGGTAGCAAACATTACTAATATTATTTTTAAAATACTTGGTAAAATAGAATCGTCTGTAGTTTAATTTCAATTATGATACTTAAAACTAATGATAAGTTAATGAAAAAATTCCATTTTTCAAATTGCCTTCCCGAACAATCGAATTGAAAACTTCAAATGAATTTTAAGATTTTGTGCTAAAATTGGCTCTTGCAGCCATTGTCCCAATTTCAAGACAATAGGATAAACGGTTCTGGAGTTAGAAGAGACACACAAACTCTACATTTTCATAATATATATAATAAACATATATAATAAATATTAAAAAAATTACAAACTTACATAATCATATTTCCATTCTTGATTTCCTTGCATTCCATGACAAGACCAAAGTACAACAGGAGCATGATCATCGGACGATGAAACATCGAAACAAACAGTTCGTTTCTTTGGTCTGATGTCACGATGCCATGTTAGCTCAAATTGCTGTAAGAAATTTAACTCAATATAAAATAAAACAGACATTTCAAAATAAGTAAAATCTTAAGTCTTTTGATCCCTAATTTTATCAATGACATTATTGTAAATTTTAATTATTTCTATATTGTTTTTAATATTAAATGCATGGTTCAAAAAAATACAGTGGAAATTTTATCAACAAGCATATCTTAGTAGCATTTTTTTATTTCAATTTTTTCATATATAGAATACAAAGTCCTGTAGTTGGCTGACGAGGTGGGTAAAATCAAGTCAAAATTTGATGAATTAATTATAATAAAATACTGAGCACTATTTAACCAGCTTGCTCCTGTAAATTGGATTTAATTGTAAATCTACTGTCACTATATTTGGTAAAGTGTAAGGCATAAGCTCTTGTCTGTTTGTTTTTTTCTTTTAATTTTACAAGTTAAATGATCAGGTGATGGCCTAGCAGGTTACTCGATTCCATTGACTTGCAGTTCTTCTAACGGATGGACTTCAGTGCAATAAGTTGGATGTTCAGGTATACCCTGATTGGGTGAGGCTACAGAGCTTTATAACACTATAGAATACATTATTAGCATTTGATTCAAGAAAGTAAGAAATTACTTTCACTGCATAAACAATTTTCTGTAGTTATGAATCTATTAGTCTAAAGTAACAGAGTTCATTTACTGTTTTAAAATGTAAAATACATTTTAATGACATCCTATAACTTTTATTTTTTTTTAAAAGAATAAAATAACCTTCAATATATTTAATTGCGTGAAATTAACAATTGAAAAGATTAATTTTTCTAACAAATTTTCCATAAACAAAAACAAATAAGTGATTGAGAACTAAAATTTAGGATTGTAGTAGTTGACATTTCTACAACCACAATTTTAAATGAATCAGTGTTTTTCACATGCTCCAAAGTAGTTAAATCATTCAGTTTCATATTAATTTCTAGATGGCAATACAGAAGCATCTTAAATTAATGAATTTACCATTAAATTCCGATTAAAAGATTGCAAGTTCAGTTGCATGTGAATATGTACACATTCGCACAGTATTTTTATTCATCGACAGTAACAATTAAAAAAATAATTCATATATTTGATAATATCATACAGTTCATGCATATATTCACAAACTTATAATAATAAATATGTTTTAGTGATTTTGTGACTAAACAAACCTTAATTTGCACATAAATATAAAATAGTTAACTTACCTGTTCTCCACCTTGGGAAGCACCACCTTTGATACATTTTTCAAGTCCAAATCGATCATTTTGATGCCTAAACCTAGTATCAATACACAATTCACTTCCAATGTTACGTATCTAAACAAAAATTAAAACATATACAAAACTTGATTATAAAAAGAAAGATGAAAAGGAAAAAAGAATTAGTGTCAAATTTTGCTTAATATTTTACATCTTTTTTTCAACCTTCAATAGTCAATACAGTACAAGAGTGAAGAGAAAAATAAATTGATTACCATACCATATTGTTACAAATATGTATATGTGCATATAATTTTCATGTTATGAGGCAGTTTAACTAGAAAATTTACTAGAAAGTCACATAACTTGAATGCAATTTAAATAGAAAATAACGTCAAATGTATTTCTTATCGAAGGCTGGGTTCGGTGGCATTTTTGTCGGCTTGGTGACAAAATGGTACTTCTGGAAAATGCAAGTTTCAATGCAATTGGACTAATATTTATGGAGTTATGCGAGAATTATCTAGAATCAAGTTGAAAGTTCCGGGGTTTCCTCACCAAGCTATATATAAATATTACTGTGCTAGGCAGAAGAGTAGTAAGAATAGAGTAATAATCTATTAGTGACTGTAATAGTGTTCTGATTTGCGAGTCTCTAGTGCTCATTGAACCACCAAAGGTTTTAAAGCCTGTGTACTAAGCTGTAATTAATTGCTAAAATATGTTGTATTTTCTTAAAGTTTCTGCTATTAAATTTTTGGAGTCTTAAAACTGTTTTATTCATACAAGTCTAATCGAAACGAACCCCTGTGTTTGTTATAATATGTAGTGTCCAACATAATTCAGACAATAGGCATGTAATTAAGTCGTTGTTTGTATAATTTTCTTAGAAAAAAATTGCTGTCAATGATGTATGATGGTCGTGAAGTTACCTTGAAGCTTTTTATTCATGCAAAAGCTTTGGCCTTTACACCAGACTGATAGAATCTGCATGAACTTCAGTCAAGTGGTGCTCAAATGAGTCTGAACTCCTCATTAGTTTTTGGCCAGAGGGAGCATGAAAACGACAGATACCAATCGAAGTAAAAAGAGACCAGTAAAACTGATATTCAAGACTGGTGAAGAAAGACAGATTATCACTGACCTGCTTTAAGACCAAACTATATAAAAGAATTGTAAGATTCAAAATGAACACCTCACATCATTGACGGCTGTTTTTCCGAAAAATATTTTATAAGCTATATTAAAACTTGCCAAATGTTTGGAGTATCATATCAAGCTTTCATAGCTCTAGAAAAAAAATCATGATTGTAGTTATAGTTTAATAATTAACTGACTGAATATAGTTTAGCAGTAAATTATTATTTTTCATTGCTCCATCAGTGGTTCTAGTAATTCAAAGACTTTATTACAGGAGGGGGGAAAAACTGAAAAGAAATGTTACCTCTCCAGATGCAAAAGAAGGTGGCTCAATGGGAGGATATTTCTTTGGCTGATCAAATGCAATTTCCTTCATGAACCATTTAAATGGCTTGCATTGCAGTTTCTCTCTGAGAGCTTTTTGTTTCGAAATGTCACCAGGATCAAGATCTCGATAATGTGGCCTTCTTAGATACAGATATTCTTTGTATTCATCCATCCATACTTCTGCTACTCGCTTATAATTCTATTTGTAGAAATAATGAATGCAATTTATAAATTAACAACTTATAAGCATTACACGGAAATATTAGATTCGGCCAAAAGTAATTATACAATGAAAATAAGATGAATGCATATTTTATTTTTATTAATACAGTGTAACGTCCCATATCCGGACATCCCTTCTCCAGAAGGGTCGATTTCCCGGACACTTTTTAACAATAAAAATAAACAAACATCTCTTTATCTTCCTCTCTCTTAAAAAAAAGAGGTCTTTGGACACATTTTTTCCTTTTCCAGCTTCTAGTGATTCCAGCATTGAACTCATAAATCAACAGAAAGGGGAAGAGAAGACTTCCCGTGACGCTCCTCCTCAGGAATGCAGTAAAGGAGGGAGATTTGTTTTCAAAAGAGCACAACTGAGTCCCCCCCCCCTTCTTTCCTATGCAGCTGGCTAGTAAAAGAGGCATTTCCTGAAACCGTTTTATTAAGAGTGCCAGGGAAAGAAGAAATACTGTGAAAAAGGGTAAACACAGCAAACCTTAATGTGGTGGGGGAGTCACTTTCAGTCACACAAGAGAAAATGAAGAGAACCCAATTAGCATGCCGCGCCTTTATGCTCGTTTGGTAGCCAATGATGGGTGAGAAAATAAGAATTTATCACTTCCCCGCCCTCAACTTGAATGACAAATAAGGAGGAAATGAATTTTCTTCTCCACCTTCCCACCTTAATGATTGATGGGAATTTCCCCTTCTTACTTGAATCATTCCAGTTCAAAATGGCAGAGAGAGCAATTAATATTTTCATAACTGTCAATTTTCTTTTCTCGTTTTCTATATTTAAAGCAGTAATTATTTATTTCTAATATTTTGTTTTTGATTGATTAGATATTCCAATACTAAAACATAATTGCCCGAAAAATAATGCTTATTTATTTTTTGCTTCTTAGATTCAAACCGTTTATTAGATCGTTTTAAGCCTTGTTTACCTTAGGGGTCTATTATACGGAAAAATCTAATACCCGGACATCCAAAATTCCCACCGATTCTGGATATGTGACTTTCCACTGTAATATCTAAATTTACACTTTTTTTTAAAGCAAAATTTTTTAATTAATAAATTTGAACAACAACTGTATTTTAAAAAGATAAAATCAGGATACAGAGTAGTACTAAATTTAATAAAATATATTTTTTACCTGAATTTCAATTTTCAAAAAAAAAAATTATTCTACAATGTATTGGGCATTAAATGAAAACAAGCTTTATTTAGCTATTTAAACCACATTGATAATCTATAATACAAACTGAATAAGTCACACTTAAATAATATTAGGCTTTAGAATACGATATAAAAATAAAAAAATTAAATGGACTGCATACTCGACCAACAAAATCTCCAATTCCAGGGTTAGGAAAAGGTGGGAATTTTCGATAAATGTGGCCAATCCTAGAGCATGGAGCATCAACCATCTGTCCACCACATTGCCAGATCTTAAAAGATAACTCATATTGTTCTCCTCCCCAAACATCTAAACCTTCATCATATCCTCCCAATTCCCAGAAGAATAAGCGATCCATTGCAAATAAACCACCAGCCATGACAGGGCTCCTGAAAAAAGATAGATGTAAATGACATGAATTATTAATCAAAAAACATAAAAAATCTAAAAAGCTTATAGGTAATATATTTGTAAACTTTTAATTATTAATGAAATTAATATGAAACACAGATATTTAAGAACAGCCCTGCATGGTCCAAGACGTTAAAGCACCACAATTATGTGTCCAAAATCATGATTCAAAATGGTCAGCACTAAGCAACAGTCCAGACTCCAACAAGCTGGCAATTACTTTAAATATTATATAAAACTATTATTAAAATTTTTTAATTCTTTAAGTTCATTAATGAAAATAAATTAAATTTTTTTTTCTTATTTTTTCAGAGTATTTTAAATTTTTTTGAATGATATCACATTTAAATTGTAATACACAATATTTGAAATATAGCCAATCAGATTTGACATGCAATAGACTAGACTAAACTTATAAATAAGTAGAATAAATTTGTAAAAGGATAGGCTTGGTTTTTCAAAAGGGTATATATTTTAAGATGGTAAGGAAAAAATTCAAAAAATTAGATACAATTCAATACAATAAAGAAGGGCAAGAACAAGAAATAGGATGAAATAATGAGAACAAGTGTTTAGTGAAAGATAACGTCAATCTTGAGATACATGTTTGTTGTTTTTTTCAGTCAAATAACATTTAATTCACAAAAGAATATTTTCTATGATGAAACAAATGTCACAAGTAAAGATTAAAAAAAAAAAATGGAAGAAGAGGATAATTTTAACTTTGTCTTTCATGAATGAAGACAGATTTTTTCTCTTTTTTTTCCAATTGATTTAAAGAGATAGCAGTGCAGATATTCAGATAAAAACAATATTAAGAAATAAGCTTCAAAATAGAAGAGAAAAATCAATCAGATTTTATTTAATAAAAAATTATAAAAGAAGCAATGGAGTTCATATCTTTTTTAATGATTAATCATTTGTAATTTAAACTAAAACAAAGCCAGCCAGTGTTTATTTTAAAAATTATTAATTTTCAGTTTCATTATTAATCATAGTTTCATAATTCATACATAGTTTCTCACTAAAGTTTGCTTTAACTGTTTTTGTCTTTTTAACAATTCTAAAAGTGTGTGCATTAAAACAGTATAAATGTTTAGTAATCGTTTAATTATCCTAAATGAAAAAAAAAAATTTATAACTTTTCGAAACAAATCACAAATATTTATAAGAAAGGGAATTTTTTTCAAGATATTTGCTTATTTTGATTGTTAAAAAGTATCTGGAAATAAATGTTTCAGATAAACAGACGTCCGGCTATAAGTACAGTATAAAATAAAATTGGTTAAGTCTTTACAGGCTATTTGCTTCTTCTTTGTTACAGGTATTTAGATTTTTGATGTAAGACATAGAAGATGTAAACATAAATTGCAAAATTATAAATACGGATTGGTAAAATGTTGAGAGACTGGTGGTTGTTGAGGAAATGTTGAGTGATTGTGGTTTAGGAAAATTTGTTTATTTCAATTTAGAAAGAATTTAATAAATTTGTATTGAATATTGCTAAATTTTTTTGAAGTAGAAAAATTTCCACGCCAAATTGATAAACCATAATAAAAATTACACCAAAATGCATAATATAATGATAGAAAAAATTTATTATATACTTTTATTTTTTTTTAAAAAGAATAGAATCTGCTCATATCTTCAATCATGCAATTAGCATGCCTTTTTTATTTAAAGTTCTGAATCAATATGTACAACCTAGTACAGTAGCCAATTTTAATTTCTCACAGCTGTAGCTTATTTTTTTTCTCATTAGTATTTGAGAGATAAGTTATATCAAGGTGCATTTCTAACTATTAGTACAGTTGAAAAGTCATACATTTTGCTTTGTCAATATTTAAGTTAAAGAATTATCAATAAACTTACAAAGGATTTTGTAAAGATCATCATTAAGGTCAAGGTTTTTTAAATGTTTTAATAACTATAAAAATGCTGTGTCTCCTACAAAAGTTATGATTTCAGCATTTAATTTTAAGTTACATAAATTGTTAAAAATAAGAAATAAGGATGGGCCAAAAATACTTTTTTGTTAACTTTACAACTATTGTTAAAAGTGTTATTAATTTTTACATATTTTTTTTATAGATAAATGAGATTTAAAAAAGTCGCGAGATTTGCAATGTACACCTAAAAAATTATTTGTTTAATAACATTTTGTGATCAACTGACTCAAAAGCTTATGAGATATCTAAAATTTACAGCTACGGCAAAATTATTTTTGTACATGCTACTACAAATAAAAATTGTAAACTCTATCAATAAAAGTCCTTTTTACTTAAATGGATCAGCAGGATGTTTCAGATCTTCAGGCAATAAAGGCAATCTTTTGTAATACAATTCCCAATCAAATGAGCCACGAGCTCCTTCATCTTGAGCTCTATAGGCAAATGTTTCATAGTCAATGACATCAATGAAGGGACAAACTACAGTTTTCTTATCTTTTGCAATAGGATCTAAAAATAAAATTATTATAAAAGAAAATTTAATAGCAAAATGAGTTACAATTTATGAAACATATCCCCACATTAAAAATTGAAATATTAACAACCTGAAATCAGAAAGGTTTATGCTTACATTACTTTAATGGCAGCATAAAAATTTTTACATTTTTTAGAAAATCTTATAAGTCTTATGCCAACTTAATTAATCCTTTTAATCATATTAAGTTTAATATGGCTGATATCAATAGCAAAAAAAAAAATAGTCTCACTTGTAACACGTAAACATTTCTAGTAACATTCACGTAACATTTCTAGAAATATATAACTATAAAAAAAAAATTCAATGATCAAAAGTTGTATTTTTAGGACGGTGGGATTGAAAAGACAGCCTATACATCAGGATTTTTTCTAATAGTGAACATATATTGAAAAAAAGAATAGTAAACCTACCCAACAAAGGAGGTAACCAATTTGTATTTGCTTCAGTATGTGAATCAAGAAATATCAATACATCTCCAATTGCAGCTCTTGCACCAATTAGTCTGGCTCTAATTAAGCCTTCTCTTTTAGTTGCTCTTAGCACTCTTACTTTAGGTAAATGCTTTTTCAAATATTCTTCTAGATCATGTTTCAACTCCACTAAAAATGGTAAAATAGAAAACTGTTAAACATAACATTTTCATAAAAAAATTTCAGAAAAAATTTAAAAATATTTACAGCAAATTTTTTTGTTTTGTACATCAATAAATCTCAATTTTTACACTCATAAAGAGTTTAATCTATAGATTTTACAATTATCTCTTTTATAAAATTAATACAATGTTTGAAATTCATGTCATTGGATTAAATTTATCTGGATTTTAGGATTAGCGTGGTTTGTCTTACGCAGTAATTTTCAAAAAATAATCACAAACATAACAATTACAAAGTTCAATGATTGATTGAGCATATTGTTATATTGAAAATAGAATAAATTTAAGAAAAAAACATAGAATGGATCAAATAACATAATACAAGAATAGGATTTCTTTAGGAAGAAACCTTTCTTCCAGGACACTGGAAGATAGAAAGAAAAATAACAAGAAACTAGAAAAAACTAAATAAGATTAATATAATCGTATAACAATAACTATTAAATGAATAGTTAAAAACTAAAACAAATAAAATTTAATATTGCACAAGAAAATAAAGTTTCTCTAAAAGTTGTTCTATGAAATACTGGCAAATAAAAACACCTGTTTTGTTCTTAGGAGCTCTTCATCAAATTTTTTTGTATTCTCAAATAGCACATTCTTTAATAGCAATGCATCATCAAGTATTTAAGGCAGAAATTTGCATGGCTATCAATATTTTAAGGCATAATTTTGGTTGATGGATCCAGGACAGGTTTGCAAGTCTACTCAGCTCAATATGGTTTGATCTCCGATTCGTTTGCTTACAGCCAGGCACATTTTTTTCTCAGGTTCTACAACCTTTTTCTATCCACATTTCAATTTTCACAAAAACATTCTCTCATCATACTGTTGCGATTCAAAAAATTACAATCAACACTTATAATAACTTTAGATTATGATTATCACATAATAGTTTTAAAAATAACACTTAAATGAAACACATTTCAGCAGGCATTAATAACTTAACCAAAAAATTAATTATCTCACAATTGTAAATAACAAATAAGTGTTAAGATTGCATCATCTGCAAGTTACTAGAAAATTTCATTCCAAAAGTTTACTTTTTACAGTTGTGGTACCACAGAGACATAAAATTAGATTACTCAGAAAAATATGACTAAAATTATATAAAAATTTAAAAAATAATAATAAGTATGAAAGTAATTTTAAAAAAATTTTGTAATGCTTTTAGGAGTAAAATATATACATGTATACGATCTCTCATTAGCGTGGCCCTTTTATTATAATCACGATCAATAAACATGAAATATCTTGAATACTCTATGAATGAAAGAATGACAGGAACACATATTCTTAATCTTCTACCATTATTGAGAATTTCAGATATATATTGCAATGTCAATTAGAAATCAGAGCTTCCCGCACAATCATAACCTTTCATAATTTCTCTCCAAAGGGTTCAAAATATTCATAAATTTTATTCTTCTTGATTAAAAAATGTTTTAGTCATTTTGTGAAGTGTCGTAAGAGATGGTTTATTTTGAAGTTAAAACACCTGGTTTTATTAACATTCTTCTTGATTTTAGTTTTGCTCAGTTCTCTAGACATACATCTCCAGGCATGGCTGCTCATAACCAGTGTAACACTATATGCTTAGAATGGGAAATAAAAGTTTTAAAGGAAATGGATAGAAAATGAACATCAAAATCTAAATTGCTAAATAAAGATCCCTAAAAGCACTTTGTTTACAGTAATTATAAAGGCAGAAGAATAACATATATATTTGTTATGATTAAAAGTATCTTGAAGAAAAATATTAGTGCTAGATAGGTTTGTCACAGAAAGCTTGAAAAAATTCTACCACAGGGGTTCAAATGAAGAGAAGTTTCTAAATCTAGAAAAAGCACTGAATGACTAGCTATAGTTTACGTGCAATTTTAAAACATTTAGTTAAAAAAATTTAAATGTCTTTTTAAACTTTTATGTACTATATTAAATATTTATATTTTATTAACGTAAAAAACTGTGTACTTTTCAGTTTTATAATTCTATTTAAAGTGTAGCATCCTTTTGCCAAAATAAGTCCTGTATTTATGAAAAGAAGTAAATATTTGCAAATTTTATAAATTCAAGATATAGCAACTTAAGTTTATAACATTTGTTTTCCTCTGAACCACATGGGTCATTATATCAGGCCTAGACTCTGCGTATATGTATATATGTGTGTATACATGTACACATATATACATGCATATTATGTATATATATATATATAACATTTTAAAGATACTAAATTAAAAATAAAAAACTCAATAGCACAGCAGAAGATAAATATAACATTACCTTTAGTACTAAAATCATCAACTAAAATAACTTCTTTAATTAATTCTGGTGGAGCTCTGTTTAAAACACTTGTGGCAGTACGTAGTAGAGTTGAGAGATGCTCATTATGAAATGGTACAACAATACTGGCAGAAGGAAGTTTTCTGAGATATTTCTTTTTCATGCAACTAAAATAAAGTTTTAATTCAAATAAATCTATAACTTATATTCACCACTTTCAAAACATTCATTTTTTTTAAATACAGGAGATTTTTGAAAAGACATATAAAAATATTTAATGTCTTTTAGTACAATAGTATTCAGATTATCTGACCTGATTACATGTCACCACTAACTGTTCTGACTAGCAAACAAATTAAATAAAGAAATCACCAGCATCAAATATAGACAATATTTAGAAAATTCTTTTAGTTTGTATGCATCTACAAAAGGATTATTTATGCAAAAATATAATTAGGTTTAGTCTTGCTGGTTGAAGTTATTAATTAAAATGAAAAATCATAAAAAAGTAAAGAAATGAATTCCAAGTAACTTTATAGACAGTAATAAGATATATAAATAACTAATTTCAATGTAGTAAAATTTGTTTCAAGATAAAAATGTGAAAAAAAAAATAATATACAAAAATATCTCACAACACGTTTAAAAAAAAAGTTTAAATTTATAACTTTTTAAAGTCCTAATTCAAAACAACTTAAATGCAGCTCAACAAATTTTAATATAAGCTTTTTCACAAAGACAAACGTTTAAGTAAAAATCACATTTTCTGTTATTATTTAAAGTTTTGGTCTCCAAGAAATTAATCAATGTAGACCAATTTCAAAGACTAACAAATTATATTTCAATTTTACAACCTTTATTTACATCAGTACACTTTTTATTTTAGACCCTTAAAATGGTTTTGATGTCTCTCTTCAAAGATATGAATTATTCTATTTACTCTGTTCCATTTTTTATTATGAACTGTTTATTTTTCCTTAATTTAAAATGTGTAGTTTTCCTTCACACTTTTTTGGAGAATGTTCAAAATAAGACAAATTAAACTGCTTGGTAATTTAGATCAAAATTTAACAAAAAATCAAAGCTCTTTCCAGAAATTAACAAGATTTTGTTTTCTTTGTCCGAAACACCAGAGATTTTTGTCTCGTGACATGAGGCAGAATAATCGCCAAGTCTCGGCAACTTCCGAGTAACAGACCGTGAGAAACTAAAAAAAAAAATAATAACACAGACAGGGATCAACTTGAAGGGTATAACTCATAACCATTCCTGGGCAAACCTCTACATGTTTGTTTGTATTTCAAATTTTCCCCATAAAATATCACTTTGGCCCCTTGGTGATTGTAGTTGGCGTCACAGACCACGATACTGAAATATCTGATACATTTTCTCCATTTCATCAAACTTTGCGACAGCGATAGCATTATGCTTATTAACAGATATAAATGATAGAAGGTTTTATATCCCAAACAAGATAAAAACTAATAAATAAAATTGACAGTAAAATTGTTCAAAATATAAGCTTGAATATTGCAACAAAGCAGCAAGATTTATTGTAGTTAATGATAGTCTGTGATTTCAAATGTGATAATGTTGTAAAATTATGGAGTAATTATAATTAAATATATATATATATACCTACATGG